GAAGTTTGTGAGCTGGGAGTTTTTAAGTGAAACAATTTGTATGAAGCATGGAGCACACCGCTTGACTCCCTCAGGGTACCCACATGTTATACAAAACTAGACTTCAGGGTGGGAAGGGGTAGAAGGGTTCCTAGGGGTGGTTTCAGAGGACAGTTATAAGAAATGGAAGAAGGGTAAAAGCAATCCTGGCATCTGGCATTGGGTCCTCACAGCAAGCATGAGTCAGCCCCAGGTGCCGAGGGACCGGCAGTGTTCTCAGCACTGCTGGGTGTGTGCTGTGGTCTTTTGGCCATGGTCCTTTTCAGTCATGCTGTCTGAATGTCATTCTTGTAAATCTGGCCTGGGTTCTTTTCAGAAAAACAGCCTCCACCATGTGAGGTCATGGTCCAGCCTGGGTCAGGGAGGGAAGTGGGGAGGACATTGTGTATACGGAGATGAGTAAAGCAGGATCTTCTTATTTTTAGAGGGATCCATCTGATTGTGGAAGAAACTCTCTATCCTTCTCTCTTCCACTCAAGATTCAGTAAAGGAGACTTTCCTGGTGGTCCAGTGGCTAAGACTCTGTGCTCCCAATGCAGGGTCCTAGGTTCAATCCCTGGTCAGAGAACTAGATCCCACATGCCACATCTAAGGTTTTGCATGCCGCAACTAAAGATCCTGCATGCTGCAACCAAGACCTGGCACAGTCAAATAAATAATTTTTTTTTTTTCAAAGCATGAAGTAGTAGCATCAAGTAGTCGTGATTTCAAACCCTGGCTTTGCCAATTACTTCCTCTGAGACCTTGGGCAAATCACTAGTGTTTTGTCCATTCATCCATGGACAAGATAATTCTGATGTTGTGGTGGGGAATTTTTAAGAAATGCTTGCAAATCATTCAGCATAAGTGTCAGGGAACACACTCTGCAGCACGTAATAATTGTTCAATAAATGTAACTACTTTTAAGTCCCCAGCAGTTGATAAGGAATATGGTTTGACCGTTTTCCCTGCTTTTCCCTCATAACTTCTATATATGACATGAGAGTTAACATTTTTTCTGATAACCATTCTTCCCCATGAGAGGCGGTCACGCTTCTCATGCCAGTATCCTGGAAATGAGGAGGCTGGGGAGAGATGGAGTAGTTGTGTCCCTACTCCCTTGTCTTCCCTCCCTTAGCCAGCTGGCTCCCTGGCTGTAGCTCTTCTGAGTCTCCCTGCTGCCTCCCTGCACTCTGAAGAAGACAGTCTCCTCTCTCCAGCTTGGAAAGTTCAGTCCTTCCCAGCTGGAACTCTGGGCTTCCCTGACCCTGGCTCTCCCCCACACCTTTTCTTGTGCTCTGTTCTTTATTTTTCAGACAGCTGGGGAAGACGCCAGCATGTGTGATTGTCTCTTCTCGGTAGAGATGGTAATTCCTGGATGCTCTGGATGTAATTTTACTGTGTAGGAGGCTGCCTGTGCTTTTGACTCCCTCATGTTGTTCTGGATTTGCCTGTGAGTGTAGGGGGAAGGCTGAGGATTAGAAAAGGCACTCCTTAGAATCAAATCACCTCTCTCCCCTCTGCTCTAGGCAGGATGGCCATTGGCTAGTAATAAGAAGAGAAATTTACATGGCAGTGAGATCCCTGCCCAGGAGAAGTCAATATAGGTTGAAGCCAGAAATCTCAGATCAATGTCCAGTTGGATCAGAACCAGATCTTCCTCTTCCCAGGCACTGGGGGGTGGATGTGGGGTAAGGACAGAGGAATAAGGGACTGTATAGGGAACTCAAAGCCTAGATTGCACTGGACATAGGAGAAAAAGATTGAAGACAATACTACATGGCAATTAAAAAGAAAGAGGCATATTTATATACAGTATCAAAGATAACCCAAGACATATTACTATCTTAAAAAAAATCACTGAACAAGGATATTAATTCTAATTTTCCTTTTTTTAAGTCCAAAATATGTGGGGCAGGTGAGAAAGGAATGGGGGTATAAGGTTTTCTGTTTTTAAATATTTTGCAATGAGTATACAGTAAGTCCCCTACATATGAACCTTCAAGTTGTGAGCTTTCAAAGATGCAAATGTGCATTCCATCAATGTCATGCATAAATGAAACTGCAGCTTGCCCTCCATCTCCTATTGCTGATGAGCCTTCAGCTCTACCATCACCCACCCCCTCTTCCTCCCTTAGTCAGTAACTCTTCTTGCCTGTTCACTCAACGCCAGCCTCTGTATGCCAGCTGTCGCACTGTACTTTATAAGGTACTGTATTGAAAGATTAAAAATGTTTTATTTTTTTGTTTGTTTGTTTTTATGTACTATTCATGGGAAAGTATTATAAGCCTATTACAGTACAGTACTGTACAGCTGATTCTGTTAGTTGGGTACCTAGGCTAGTTCTGTTTGTTGCACTTAAAAACAAACTGAACTTATGAATGTACTCCCATAACCAAACTCATTTGTATGTAGGGGACTTACTGTATACTTATGTATTACTTGCAATTAAAAAGTATGTCTTTATAGCAAAAGATGTAGTTTTAAAGCAGAAATAGACTTAGAAAGGAAAGTTAAGCATCCCCCCACCCAGGGGTGGAAAATAGGACTTCCCATGAAAGAACCAGCCTCTGTCCCTAATGAAGCCCTTCTCTGGCTCTTGCTACAGATCATTTCCTATAACAACTTGGAAAAGATGAGGTTTCTAGCCCCCGTTCAGTCTCAAAGGACCTGCATAGCAGACCCCCAGTTACCGCTATGTCCCCAGAGGTCAGTGAAAACAGCCAAACATCCAACTAACTAGAAGAGTGAGAAGAGGGAAATCAGGAGGAGAGGAAATTTCCAGATTCTCCAACAGGAGGTTTGGACTCCCAAGACCAAGAAAGATTACAACAAGCTCTCCTTTGGAGGTCTCCACATCTTGATGCTGGCTTAAACCCAACTCTAGGGCTAAAACACCACTTTCTACCAAGTCCCTTATATTTCCCTTTAGCTACTATAGTCATTATTATTATTTTTGGCTGCACTGCACAGCATGTGGGATCTTAGTTCCCCAACCAGAGACTGAACTCTCACCCCCTACATTGAAGGTGTGGAGTCTTAACCAGTGAACCACCAGGGAAGTCCCAGGCCATTTTATATATGAAAATATTGAGCTCCAAAGATGTGAAATGACCTACCTAAGGTTACACAGTGAGATGCAATATCTGCCTTCAGAAACCTAATCAATCTTTGTTTTTATTCATTATTCCATATTGTTTTATTTCAAGTCCAACATGTGTTTTTGTCAACTTTCATCTTAATCCCAAACCCAATTCTAACCCACAGTGGACTCAGGTGCTTCTGGCCAATGGCAAGGGCTGATTTTGGATTCTGTCCCTCCTGGCTTCCTCCTCCCATCTTATTACCTAGAAATCTACCTCTTGACCATGCTTCCTTCTGAGAAAGAGCAATCACAGGTGGGAGGGAAGGAGTGGAATTTGGTCCTAGCCTGAAGCGACTCCAAGGCAGCCTGGTTCTTTTCTGTACGTCGCAGAGGATGATCCTCACTAGGAAGGCTTTGGGGTTCATGCCAGTTCCCTTCTCCCTCTGGATTCCTTGCTAAAGCAACGTCTTGATCCTACCGATGGAAGACCAACAGGTTATCAGTGGCCATGATTTAAGAGCCTAAGGCCCTGAGATGAAGAGCTGGAGTGAAAGATAATTGAAAGATAATTTGTGGTGGGCAGGAATCCTGTAAACTGGGACACAGCAGCAGCTGAGTCCAGGGGTCAGTGTCTGGGAGTAATTTGGGAAAGTTTGGTGCTGACAGCTGTGTCTGGAGTCGAACGTCATGAACAAATCAGCTTCTGGGATCCTCAGAATGATGAAGCTCTGGCTCAGGACACACAGTCAGCTGTGGTGTGGCAGCAGTCACGGCCGCTGGGGCCCCAGACTCAGCCTTGCTGTTTCTCAGCTGCATGACTTCAGGCAAGTCAGGAAAGGAGGAAAGGAAACTAGACTCTGCTGAGTGAGGGCAATGCCCTTTCACAAGCATCACTCTCACTGCAGATCAGGGTAGCATCCCTCTTTTACATGGGAATAATCTGAGAATCCACGAAGGTAACTGAAGACATTGCAGGCTATGTAACTGGAAAGTGGGAAGACAGGATTAGAACTCAGCCTCTGAGCTCCAGTCCTGGGCTCTTTCCTCTGAGCAGTAAAGTTTGTACCCACCTCACGATGAAGTCGCCCCATCGTAGGTTCTAAACTCTTCCCTTCTCACAACCTTGGTCCTGAGGAGTTGTGGCCACCTTCTTGGGGATGGAGCAGTCATACTTTTGCCCCTGTGCTCAATCTGGTTTGGGGGGGGTCTAGGCCCCAGGGGGTGCCTCGAAGGGAGGGTATTTGGACTTTGGTTTCCCTGTACCCCGTCCTCAGGCCTTCTCCCCAGGGCTGGCTCCCTTTCCTCCTCCTCCTCGGGTTTTGGCAGGCAGACTGACATCAGTGGGTGTTCCCAGGGAAAGGGAACTCTGAGCCCAGCTCCAGGCGCCCCTTCCCCCATGGCTCAGGGCAGCCGCAACCCCCAGCCTTAGAGCCTGCAGCGTAGAGAAGCCCTCTGAGCTCCCAGCCCACTTCCTCTTTTCATTATCCCCCGACACACTCCCACCACCTCACCGAGAAAGAAAAGGGGCCACTAGAGTTCGGGGAGCAAATGCTCGGAGATCTGACGAGTCTTGGGCGCCACGCGGCCGAGCCCAGGAAATGGATCCCGGTTCTGGGGTTACGAGGGGAGCTGTCCAGCCCCGCGGGGTGAGCTAGCAGAAGGGGTGGGCCAACGCCGGCCAGGCGGAGGGAGCGGCGGGCGCCAGGGCCGGGTGGGGCAGCGACTCCCCCTCCAGCCCGCCGGCCCCGGGCGTCGCCCCCGCCCCCCACGTGGCCGCAGCCGTCCCAGCCCCCGCGAGGAAGCGGCGCGGCTTCCTGCGGCTTGGGACCGGGATATAGGCGCCCCCGCCCGGGCCCGGCTCAGCGCCGCCGCTCCTCCTTGCCTGCTTGCCGTGCGATGGCCTCGCTCCGGGCGGAGCGCGCTGTCGGCGGCCCGTGGCTCCCCGCCACCCGCGCCGGGCGACCGGCTGCGCTCCGCCTCCTCCTCCTGCTGGGCGGTAAGCGCAGCGTCCCGAGGTCCGGGCGGGAGGCGCGGGAGGCCCTGGAGGGGAGAGGGACTGGACGGCTTGGAACGGGCCCCGGCGTGCGGGTGCGGACCGCGCTGCTCTCTGGACGGTCCCCGGCCTCACCGAAACGAGGGCGCAGCGCGGCAGCTTCCCACCTGGGGAAAAGCTGAGATGCCCGGGGCCCCCGTAGAAAGCTCTTGGGAGGTCTGGAGCTGGCGAAGAAGGAGGGGTTTTGAATGTGTGAAGGAATTGGTGCGGCCCCCTCTCTTCCTGGCACCGAGGCACCCCGTGGGGGCCTGGATGGCTGCTCTGTCTCTTCTGAGAGTAGCCCTAATTTTCAAGAGTCTCAGACCCCAACCCACACCCCGCTTCTTCCTGGCTCCACATCCCATCCTCCCATCTCCCTGTCCCTTTTCTGCCCACAGCTGTCCTGAAGCCCCAGGAGTCCCTGGCTCAGCTTCTTCCCACCCCAGACGGCTCCAAGTCAGAAGGTGAGTAGCCAGCGACTGTGGAATGGTGGTCCCCGGCAAGGAGGAGAGAGGTGAGTGGGGAGAGTTTCTTTCCCACAAGCCAAGCCCCAAACCCAATTGGTGCCCCTAAACTCCCTTCTGTTCTCTCTCTCAGGGTTTCTTGTTGTCTTTCTACCTCTCATCCCACAAAGCCCCCAACCAGCTGTGAACTGGCCCGCCTCACAGGTGGGTTAGGATATTCCAGAAAAAGTGTATGTGGAAACTCTTGCCAGGCTGGAAAGTCCAGTGTACATGGAAGGCATTAAACTTTTACTGAGCTGGGACTCTCTCTTCAGCTGGGAGTATCTTGCTTGGGAAATTTTCTGAGGCTCTCTGGGTAGTTCCCATATATGAAGATAGGAACAGTGGTTCCACAATGGAAGTACCTGTATCAGAGGGTTTGGAGGGTGGGGCAGGATATGGTCAATGTGCAGCATCTCTGCCCACAGGGAAAACGGTGTTGGAGACCTATGGGACAAATGTCCTACAATGCTGGCACGATTATGAGGTTCAAATGGACTCTATCAAGAAGGACTGGTGTGATTGGGCCCTGATTAGCAGGTAGGGGCAGTGCTGGAGGGCGGCTTGGGCCAGGCGTGGGGCTTGCTCCCTGTGGGTGAGTGAGTGTGGGGCAGTCCTCTTTCTGGCCCCAACCCTTCCCTCACTCTAGTCCTCTCCTGTCTCTAGGCCTTATAGCTTCCTTCGAGACTGCTTGGAAAAGGGTGCAGAAGAGTTTGGCCTGGGCTTCCCCAACCCCTGGGCGGAAGCGATCATCTTTGAGACTCACCACATCCACTTTGCCAACTGCTCCCTGGTGCAACCCACCTTCTCAGATCCCCCAGAGGATGTGCTCCTGGCCATGATCATAGCCCCCATCTGCCTCATCCCTTTCCTCGTCACCCTCGTGGTGTGGAGGAGTAAAGACAGTGAAGCCCAGACCTAGGGTGGCAAGAGCTGTTTGGCAGCCATCTTACTTCTTTCCTCGGCCACCACCTGGTCTCTCCCCTCCCCTCCCTACTTCGTTCTCTCGCTCCCACCCTAACTGGAGATTCTTAAATTGGTGGAAATGGAAGCTGGGTGGGGTCATCGTGCAAGTTCTGTAATCTTCAAAATAAACCTTTTTTTTTTTTTTGGACGTTCCCCTCTCCATTCCAGTGGGAACCTGTGTCCTTCCAGAGACTCTGCCATTCCCACAGGCCCTTAGCTCTGGGCAGCAGAGCTAGAAGAATCTAGATCGGTCCACTGTTTTGTTCCCTTACTGGCCCCTCCTGAACTCCCTCCCCCACCTGAAGGCCACGCCCCTATATCCCTTCCTCCCAAGGCCAGGCCTTTCCTGCCCTTATCCAAACCCAGCTTCAGGAAACTTGCAGGAAGAGACTCCCTTCCCGTCTGGACAGCAGCTGGGGAGGTGAGGGGGGTGGGACGAGAGAGGACTCTCCGCTGTGACTTCTACAGGGAGGGGGTGCCATCCAGAAGCCCTCAATTTTCCGCTTCCTCATGCCTCAGTTTACTCCTAGGGCCTGGTAATAGAAGCCCTGATGGAATCAACGGTAGTCCATCCCTAAGGACCTCAGGATTGAGGGCAAAGGCAGTGGGGGTTTCCTCTACTAGACTCACCACAGGACTTCCCCTCCAGGTCCTTGGCCCTCATCCTACATTGTCCTGGACCCTGGGTGGGTGTGGCCTACAGCCTGGCTATACACTGCCCTCTGGTGTCCACTAAAGCCAACAACCAGAAGATGGACATGGCCTGGAAGAAGCTCAAAACAGTTGTGAGATCAAAGACCTGTTATTCCCACAGCAACCACTAGTTCTTCATTGGCTGCTTCTTTTAGCTTCCTCAGCCCTGCTTATGATCCCTTAAGACACTTTCCCACTGTTAAGGGCCATACCTAGCAAGCGACCCACCATTTCTGTATACAGACACTCCTGTATGTTCCTTAGATGGTGAGGCCCAGGTCTCACCACAGAACCTTCACTTTCAGTTCTCCCTGGGACAGACCTGCCAGGTCATCAGAAACATCTAGACAGTAGCTTTGTTCTTTAAAAAATGACATCTGTAAAAAAATAAAACGACACCTGTTTATTCCTTGAGGCAACTGGCACCTCTTTAGGAATTCTCCTTCCTTCCTGGTTGAAATACCTGCCTCCCTGAGTACATAGCCACTTCCTGGGACGTGCCTGTCTATTCCACAGATATATGTGTGTGTATATATATATGTGTGTGTGTGTGTGTGTGTGTGTGTGTGTATATATATATATACTTCCTGGAATATATCTATTTATTCTCTGAAACGCACTTCTCCTCTCAAAATACATCTGTGTCTCTAGAAACACCTATTCCCTAGGACATTTTGAGGTTCCACCATGAGAATCTTTGCTCTATTTCCATAATGCATTTATCTTCTCCAAGGATGTATCTGTCCTCTTTTTGGCCCATATTTGCCTTCATGCATCTTACTAATATACAACAAAAGCATGCCGGTGTAAGTCACTGTAAATGGCCTATTGTGTTGGGAATACAAGTTAGTTAAGGCTTGGTTCTGCTTTGATGTCTTTCATCTGGCAAGGGAGCTGACATGTGCACAAATAAACAAAAACAATGGAATGTGTGATGAGAATCATGCAAGGAATACAAGCCAAATGTCATCTGAGTGTTAAGGAAGGAGGAGTCACATTTAGCTACGGTGCAGTCGAGGTGAGGTCATAGGAGGGTGACTGTGGAGTTGGCATCTGACTAGGCCTTAAATGGAGAGGAATCTCCTATGGCAGACAGTAGAAAAAGAGATGAATTAGACAATTATTGCAATAATCCAGGTTTGAGAAAACAAGGGCATGAACCAAATGAGTGCTGAATGGAGAAACAGAAAATAATTTAAAAGTAGGAAAAGGCAAAATAGGGGAGGGAATTCATAGGGTTTCAATATGAAGGTGAACAAGAGGAGAGGTTAGAGCTGACTCTGGCTTTGAATTTGAGTTACTAGGACAATGATGGAAGTAATAATATTTAAAGGGCCATTAAGAGGAGAAGCTGGCTTGAAGAAAAGGATGTATAATATAACAATGGAACAAGATGTAACGAACCATAGGGAGTTGGAAATGGGAGTGGTCTTGTTGCTGCAGGTAGTAGAAAAAAGTTGGAGTTAGGAATACAGGTTTAGGAGTCCCCTGCAGAGAAATGCCACGTGAAGCCATGAGAAGGATGAGAGTTCCCAGAGAGAAGGTGTAGTAAAGAAAGCTGACATCCTTAGAAAACATGCACACATATACAGTGAGGACTAAAGAAGACAAAAGGGAAAGATCAGAATCAGCAGAACAAGGATAAAGCAAAGCCAATGGACGCAAAGGAGATGGTGCCCTTTGAGAGAACATTATCCACTGAAGGGTTCACTAATTTAGTCATTCAACAAATATTTATTGGACACTTCTGTGGACCAGGGACTGTACACAGTAAAGGATGGACTTCGGTGGGGGAGATGTTAGAGATCAGACAGGAAATTGAGGGTGGTAGAGTCAAGGAAACTACAAATTTTCAAGTAGGGATGACCTCAGCATATGTATACTAGAGGAGCCAGGAGAAAGGGAAAAAGAAGGGAAGATGATGCACAGACAAGTCTTGGAGGAAACTGGAAAGGAGAGGCAAACAGATGCCAAAGGGTTGGCCTTGTTGAGGGGGTTCCCTGGCTGTCCAGCCGTTAAGACTCCGCACTCTCACTGCTGAGCGCGGGTTCAGTCTCTGGTCTGGGAACTAAGATCCCACAAGCTGTGTGGAGTGGGCAAAGGAGTAAAAGTGAAAGAAACTGAGAGATGAATTTGAGTGTGGTGACAGGAAGGACTAAGAGGTTCACATGCATGGCCTCCATCTCATAAAAATAGAAGAGATGGGCATTCTGCAGAGAGGCAAGAGACGGGAACTGGTGGAATGGCTTGATGTGTGTGGAAAATTTTGAAAAGTTACCTTAAGGAATGTGATAAGGAATCAATAAGAGACAAAGCATCACTGGACTGCACTGATAGAACAACAGTGAGGTCAGTCAGGGAATCTGAGGCTCAGTCAGAAAGTTCTGGTGATTTTTTTTTCCCCTGTCAGTAATACTCAGGGCTAAGGCGTGAAAAAAAGATTGAGGAATAGGTGGGCAGCGATCGACAACTCTGGGTTGGAAAATGAGGAGCAGGGAGGCAGGCAAGGGGACAGAACTGAGTAGTCTAGGCTAGGCAAGAAGTCATATAAGACCAATAGGGTCCCTGGACTTGAGACTAGAAAGTAGAGGACATGGGAGAGGTGAGACACAGGTGGCTATGCTCAAATATGGCAGCTCTGAATCATGGAAGCAGAGCCATTTCCAGGGATAAAAGCTACAAATAAGCTCCTGGGGAAGATGGAGTCGAAGGACACAGGAATTGATGGGAACTGTGAGGGGTTTAAGTTAAAAGCGACACAAACGTTAATATTAAAAGAAGCCCCGTATAGTGGAAACAAGCCTAGGCTGGGTTCTGGAGACCTGGGTTCTGTTTGCAGTTCTAACCGTGCCACTTTGGGGAAGTCACTGCCCTCTCTGACATGGAATCAGAAGACTTCTCGGGGCCCTTTCTGCTCTAGCCCGTAAGGATATGGGATAATGGCAAGAAACCGGCTGACGAAGATCCCTCCGGTTGGGCCTCCTCTCTCCCCAGAGGCTTCCGGAACCTTTCTGCAGCGCTTTCGGTCCGGACGTGCCGGAGCGGAGACCGGAAGTCCTCTGCCGGCGGGTTCCGGGTTTCCTGGGCTACTACGATGGCGATGAGTTTCGAGTGGCCGTGGCAGTATCGCTTCCCACCCTTCTTTACGTGAGGCTTAGACCCCGAGAAGCCCCGTTGGACCTCCCTCCCCTCCCCCGGACCCCGGGCTCAGCCCTAATGCTTCAAATGGGGAGGGGGAGAATGGACCCGGTCGCCACTACCCGCAGTCCCTCACTTTCTTCCCCGAATGCGCCTCTGGCAAGTGCTGCCGCTCGCCCTCTCTCAAGTCCTCTAATTTTGCGCCCCACCCGCTTCACCCGGCAGGTTGCAGCCGAACGTGGACACTCGGCAGAAGCAGCTGGCCGCCTGGTGCTCGCTGGTCCTGTCCTTCTGCCGCCTGCACAAACAGTCCAGCATGACGGTGATGGAAGCCCAGGAGAGCCCGCTCTTCAACAACGTGAAGCTCCAGCGTATCCTCCCTCGGGCGCTTCCACAGCCCACACACATGCACTTCTACCTTTCCCACATGCCCAGACTTCACACTCCCTCTCACTCACAGAAGACAGGTTCCCATCCAGACCGGCCTTGGGAAAGAGCCCTTTTGTGTAGCTGACATCCATTCTCGCCCCCTCGCCCCCCACCCCCGACGCCAACCCCAATGCAGCACCAACCCCTTCTTGTCCTAGACAGTGATGAGTACCTAGGTGTCGTTCAGATCTTACAATTTCGGCCCTGAAGCCAAGTACCAGGGTTTTTCGACCTGAGCCTTTTTGACTTGTTGAAAGTTAAGTCCTCTGTATGAGGCTCAAACTCTAGCATTACCTTTAGTAATTTTCTCCGCCTACTCCCCTCACCCCAGGAAGAAAGGATGGTTTTCTTTTGCTGCCTAGTTCATCCTTGAAATATCTGGACAATGGTTGGAGGAAGGAGAGAGGACAGGGAGTGCGAAATGATAGTACCTTTCATTCTCTAAAGCTTTTTTTAAAAAACAAAAACAAAACACTTTTTCTTTTTTGACTGGCATCTTAGGGCCCACTGCATTGGAAGCGCGGAATCGTAACTACTAGACCACCAGGGAAGTCCCTAAAGCTTTTCCTTTTAATCAGACTAGTTTCTCTTTACCTTCCTCCTCCCCAGTATGCAGGAAATTGCAATTTACATCCTGTTGTGGAATTGCACATCTCAGTGTGTAGGAGGGAGAAGAATGGTAGTTCGTAGCATGAGCCTGGCTGTGAGAAATTTCATCCCACCAGTTCATTCTTTTAATGCCGTTCCCTTAACCTTAAACCAGGGAAGCTGCCCATGGAATCAATCCAGGTTGTCTTAGAGGAGCTGAGGAAGAAAGGTGGGTTCAGTTCATCAGATTCCTTATTTTTCTTCCTAGTGGGGTTTTCCTGAGGGCAAATTAGCACAAGTCTTTTCTTCTAAGGACTTTTTTTTTTTTCCTCTCCTGGCTTGGAACCCAGAGTGTTCTGTACAGTAGCCCAATTCCCTAGGTTCTTTTCCCCCACTGGCTTACAAAATTGAAATTTCTCCATCTGTGCTCCAAGACCTGCAGAAGAGAATGGATGCCTTGCAGATAGTAAAACAATTTTTGAATTGCTCTTTCTGAAAGCTGAGTCTCTTCCACTCTGTTCCACTTTTAGTTTGCCTCTTTGTCTCTTCTTGGAGCACGATGCTTTCATAAGTATCTTTTGCAGGGAACCTCGAGTGGTTGGATAAGAACAAGTCTAGCTTCCTGATCATGTGGCGGAGGCCAGAAGAATGGGGGAAGCTCATCTATCAGTGGGTGAGACTATTCTGACACAGTGACCCATGGCAAAGGAGAATGACTCTATGCTCAGCAGATAGCTGATGTTTTCAGAGCCACACTGAGCAAAATGGGAGAGGGCAGAAAGAGGAAATGTAAGTCTTCCAGGCAGGCCTCTTTCAGTGACTCAATTTCCCTGGCTGCAAAGAACTTCCCTGTCTTTGCCAATAGAAGGCCAGGGGCTGTGTGAGGCCATGTTTGGAGAATGCAGTACTGGGAACCATGAATACTGTTGTTGGCTGGGGCCTCTGGCCACAGAAGATAAATGGGGAAAGGAAGAGAAAAAAAACACAAAAACCTGGACCCCCTCCCCCACCACATCCTAATGGGGCTGCCCACAATATAAATGAGACTTTCTGAACCAATGTGGGTGTGGGGACAGCCTCTCTCCCCTGCATTCCAGGTCACCACCAGTCCTGAACATTCCCAAGAGAGAGAGAGGAGGGGAAGAAGCATCAACAACCCAAATATAACAAATACACACCACCCATTCCTGAACAGGAAAACAACCAGGATGAGAGGTCATTCCTCAGACACGTGAAGGCCTGTGGTTTAGTGGTTCTGAGCATGTGTGTACATGTATAAATATAGCACCTGTAGGGTTTGTGGGTTTTCGGCCACTCCTCTAATGAGGTGACAGCTCTGGTTTGGGAATAAGTATCATTCCTGGGTCAGAGAGGTGGAGCTGGTGAGTTTGCCTTCTCCCAGGAAATTCCTGGGTCTTACTCAGTCCCTGTATTCTGTGTCCATAGGTTTCCAAGAGTGGCCAGAACAACTCCGTGTTCACCCTGTATGAACTGACCAATGGGGAAGACACAGAGGATGAGGGTAATGCTTTTCCCTCTCCCCCCAGTTTTGTCATGTGAATTCTCTCTAATCTTTGTTTAGTTGACATTCAAATTCCCATGCTTTTGTCTCTAAATTCCAAATACTAGATAATACAAAGGTTGTTAATCCATGTGCAAGATGTTTATAAACCACCTGAATTCACATGCAGAACACCCACAGTCTTTGTCTGTGGGGGTGTATATGCATTTCAGTTCAGTTCAGTCGCTCAGTCATGTCTGATTCTTTGCGACCCCATGAATCGTAGCACGCCAGGCCTCCCTGTCCATCACCAACTCCCGGAGTTTACTCAAACTCATGCCCATCGAGTCGGTGATGCCATCCAGCCATCTCATCCTCTGTCGTCCCCTTCTCCTCCTGCCCCCAATCCCTCCCAGCATCAGGATCTTTTCCAATGAGTCAACTCTTCGCATGAGGTGGCCAAAGTATTGGAGTTTCACTTTCAGCATCAGTTCATGAGATAAAGTCCGTATTTTAAGACTTTAAAAAAAATTTTTTTTGGCCATGCCACAGGGCATGTGGGGATTCCCCAACCAGGTATTGAACCTGTGCCCCCTTCAGTGAAAGTGCGGAATCTTAACCACTGGACTGCCAGTGAGGTCCTCCATGTTATACGATGTTGAAGGGTGTCTGTGACCCATGAAAAGTTAAGAATTATTGGTGTAGATGCCGAATGAGGAACCAGGGCAGGAGATTAAGCCTGAAATCTCCATTCCTTGTTGATTCAGGCCTTCTTTCACCCTTTATTCTTATAGAGGGTTCAAGATCTGTGGGTGTCAGCTGAAGGGATTGGGCCAACACCCCCATCCCCAGTCCTTTAGAATACTTTGGTTTCTGGCCAGACCGGGATTTGTATACTCTTTGATTTAAATACTCTCTTAGCTCTTTTATCTCTGACTCCATATGTTGATCCCCAGGATCATCAGAAGTACCAATCTGAGCTGGGTAAAGGGGGCACCTCCCCTTTCTGCCAGGCCTGACTGCCCAACAGTTTACAGTGCTTGGCTTTCCCCCCTTTCCTGCAGGCCTCTGCTTGCTACTCCCACCATCATGCCATGACTTCAGTGCTGCAGCCTAGCCCAGCCCACCACTCAGGCCAGGCAAAGCTGAAGGCTTCCTTGGAAAGCAAGCTCCCTGACTCAAGAGCTGGGCCCTGCAGGGGGTGTGGTGTGCAAGCCTGTTAGGACTTGCCTGCTGCCTCTCACAGCTTCCTGCAGTATCTTGCTGTGTCTCCAGATACTCAGCTGGCCCTTGGCTCCCAGTTTTGTTCTTTTTTTTTTTTTTCCACTAGGATAGGGCAGATATCTGTGCTGGACCTTTGCAGTCTCCTGGCCAGAAGCATGGCTATACCTCTCTGTGTTAGGATAGGTCCTCCCAATGGGTACAGATGCAGTTAGGGACAGCATCCAGTGACAAGAGCCTTGACCTCCCTGGACTTGATTATCAGGGCCCCTTTTTTGTGGCTCACAAGCAAATGGGGTTATTCTTGAATATTGTGACAGTAATGGGGGGATCGTGTGAGAGTGTGTACAGGCTTTGAGTCTGACAGAGGAAACAGGAAGGGGGGGAAGTAGCGTGAACTCTCGTTTCATGTTGACTCAGGCTTTCTTCCACCCCTTACTCCTGAAGAATACCCAGAAAGGGTGGGTGGTAGCGGTAGCAGTACTGATGGCCTGGAAAGTTCTCTGCTTCCAGCTCAACTGCTCTCCTCAGAGGCCTTGAGCCCCTAGGAGCTGCATGTCCCTGACTGCCCATCTTTCCTTGTTCAGAGTTCCACGGGCTGGATGAGGCAACCCTACTGCGGGCTCTGCAAGCCCTCCAGCAGGAGCACAAGGCCGAGATCATCACCGTCAGCGATGGCCGAGGTGTCAAGTTCTTCTAGCAGAGACCTGTGTCCCTTTACTTATTACCTCCTACCCTGCCAGGGCTTTCAAAGGGAGACAGACCGTGTCTCCACAGACTGGATCTGTGACTCCACCTGACTCAAAAGGGCTCTAGTCCACGGGTGGGTTTCCTAATTATCCCATTTGTCTGTCCCTGGGATCCAGTGAGGCTGAGGTGCCAGGGAGGGAAGATGTGCTTCTCCTTGTCCCACCTCTCCTGAGCCAGGGTCTGAAACCCAGCACTTCACTTGTGTCATACACGTAAGTACACACACACATGGCCTGCACAAGCTTCTGTCTCTTTCCCCACCCCCACCCTCCACCCCCTTAGCTGCTACTGCCTCCTCTCTCAGGCTGGTGCTGGATCATTCCTAGGGGATGGGCGAAGCCCTGGCTGCAGGCAGCCCTCCAGGCAGTGTGAAGATAGAAGGCCCAGGAGGGGGCCTGGCAACGAGAGCTGGGACCCAACACTGATTTATGATTATTAAAAAGCTTAACCCCACTGCTTACTGCTGAAGTTACTACTGGAGTGCGCAAGGGGAGTACTGTGATCTGTGAACCACGCTGAGTGAATCCCCACCTACCTTAGGGGAGAGGTCCTCCGGCACTGGTGGACTCACTGAGCCTGTGGTTTGACATCTGCTGGGTGGGCTGTGTGGGGGAGTGCTGACAGAACACAGCTTGAGGACAGACGGCTTTCTGTCTCTGCAGTGGAGTAACTTAATGGCTTCCCCTCCCTCACCGTCTCCCTGTGGAAGTCCTGAACGACGCTGAAGTCCCTCCCTCCATCCATCTGCTCTGGGTCGGGTAGTTGAGGCCAAGGGGAGCTGAGGGGGAGTAAACCGGATATGGACTTTGGTTTATTGGAAACTTTGGCAAACAGGGGTGAGGAAGGAGAGCCCACAGAGCAAAAACAGCCACTTTGGTCAGGGCCAGGCTGTGGTTAAGGTGGGGAGTGGAGAGGATGGGTGACCCGGTCCTTGGTTTGGGGGAGGGGCCGGCTCTGGGGTGCACACACCCATCCCTGCGCAGCCCCGAGGGACTGCGACGTCGGAGAAAACCAGATCTTTCCATTGACCTCTGTATTGTCGTCCCGAGGCCATTCTGGACGATTAGGAGGGGGTGGCGCTACCTTATCTGGGGCCTGCAGACGAGTGGTAGCCTCTTCCTCGCCACGCCCCTTTTCTAGGGTCGGGGAGCCGTGGTCACGTTTCATCTCCCTGTCCTAGTACCGTGCTCCCCCAAACAGGTCTGCGCACTCTTAGTGCGCGAGGACACACCGCCTCTTCCCGGGCTCCAGCTTCGGAAAGAGACTGAGGGCGGGTGCTCCGGGAGGCCAGGAGGAGGAGGGCCAGCGGCCGGGGGCGGGGCAGTGGCAGAGGTGAGGGGCTGCGCCAGGGGTTCCACTGTACAGGCAGCTCCGAGGGGGCGGCTCTGGGGGGTAAGGGCGGGGCGGGGGCGGAGCTGCGGGGCAGGCCAGCCGGGGCTGGGGCCCCAGTAGCTCAGCCGGAGCACTGCGCACCCAGCCAGTCGTCCTGTCAGGCCGCCCGGCTTACCGCCTGCAGCGCCCGGTCCTTCCTCATGCTGGCATCCCCGGCCCCAGAGACCGAAGTCCCCATGTCCCAGGCGGAAGCTGACCTGCCCCTGCGGCCCCCACAGCCCCTCGCTGCGGCGGGGCCGCCCCGCCTCGGGCCCCCTCCCCGCCGGGTGCGCCGCTTCTCCGGGAAGGCTGAGCCCCGGCCGCGCTCTTCCCGTCTCAGCCGCCGCAGCTCAGTCGACTTGGGGCTGCTGAGCTCTTGGTTCCAGCCAGCCTCACCCGTTCCGGAGCCCCCTGAACCGCCGGACTCCGCTGGTTCCGGCCCGGCGATGAGCCCACCGCCCAGTGCCGAAGAGCCCTCTGAGGGCACGTGGACCGCGGGCGCCCCGGTGAAGCCTGCAGACTCCGAGGGTTCAGAGCCCGCGGGCTCCACAGGAGGGTCGGGGTCCCGGGAACAGCCGAGGATCACCGAGGCGGCGGCAGCCCGGGAGCGGCGGCGGGAGCAAGAGGAAAAAGAGGACACGGAGACCCAGGCTGTGGCAACGTCCCCGGACGGCCGATACCTCAAGTTTGACATCGAGATTGGACGTGGCTCGTTCAAGACGGTGTATCGAGGGCTGGACACCGACACCACGGTGGAGGTGGCCTGGTGTGAGCTGCAGGTGCGGCTGGGCGCCCCCTTGGTGACGCCACGGGACGGGACCTTTGGAGGTCTTGGGATGGGAGATCCAGGGAACAGCAGCAAGGGGGATGTATTTTTCCAGTCAAATGTCTGGACACTTGTCCCACTTGCTCTGATGGTCCATGGACCTGGCTGATTCCAGGCTGCAGAAGGATAAGCTGAGGCAGGTGGTGTGTGGTAGCTCCCCTGTGGATATAAGACATTCTTACTTTACAGGCTCCATCTCAACCCTGAGAGCTGGAAAGAAAATAAGATGGGAAATTGGGTAGGGAGCCAGCTCAGACCTGAGGGGTGGCTCACCACTTTCCTGCAGTGGTTACCCACTGTCTCCTCCTCTCCCTTCCCCTTAAGTCCTGAGACCCTCAGTGTGACCCTGATCCTCCTTTTTCCTTGCCCTGGATCTTTGCAGATTAGAAGGCTGTAATGATGGATGGAGGCCAGGAGCTGGGACAGGGTCCTCTCCATTTCTAGAAGATGTAGGGCTATTGTATCAGGACAGGGCCTTCCCACATCCCTTCTGGAACAAACTTCTGGACTTCCCCATGGCTGGGGGAGGGGGAGACAGGGAGTTCCAGCCCTGGCCTGAGTCCAGTTCTGCTCCTCATCCTACTGCCTACCTGAGCTATCCTCTCCCCAGACCAAAAGCACTGAGCCCCATGGGGTTTAGGGGTATGCTGGCTTGAAGGACCTTCCTCCTATAGGGGGAAACCCAGTTAAGTCTGAGCTTTGGATTCATATTGAGGGGACAGAGCCTGGAGGAAGGGTCCTCCCCTCCAGCCCTGGCACTAAGCTTGCCCCTTGTGCCTGCCAGTGCCACACCCCAGGCTCTAGGCCAGGCCAGGAGAGGCGGCCAAACTAGGGGTGGGAGGGTGGAGGAGGGAGATGGGGGAAGGCAAGACAACTATGGGGCAGGGGGCGGTCTCCTGGCACCTGGTCTTGGATGCCTTCTCTCTTTGTCTGTACCTCCCTCTGCAGCCCTTCTGCCTGGATCTAGCAGTTACCAGTTTCTGAGGCTAATCCCCTTGCCGGCCCCAATTCTCTGCCCGCCCGCCTGCCTGCTGCCCGCCTGCCGCCTGCCCGCTGCCAGCCCCGGGGCGTCCCTTCCCGCTCCACGGCCGGCCTGGGCGGCTACAAAGGCGCTATTGAGTTCAGAGCTCCTGGACCGGGCTGCATAAAAGCTCTTGTGTCCATGAGGGGGTCCAGGGGGCGGCCCCAGGCCCATAGTGGGCGTGTCCTTGGAGCGGTCCAGCAGGGGCAAACCAGGAACTTGGGGTCTACAATCCTGTTGGCGAATGATGCCACCCACCCAGTCCCATCCGTTGGCTCCTACCCTCACCACTCCTCCAAGCCCCGCCGCATGTGTCCCCGTCCCCCTCTTCGTGGGGGCCCTGGGCCTGAGGTGACCGTGACCCCCGTCCCCTACCCCACAGACTCGTAAACTGTCTCGAGCCGAGCGGCAGCGATTCTCAGAGGAGGTGGAGATGCTCAAGGGGCTGCAGCACCCCAACATCGTCCGCTTCTACGACTCCTGGAAGTCGGTGCTGAGGGGCCAGGTTTGCATCGTGCTGGTCACCGAACTCATGACCTCTGGCACGCTCAAGACGTGAGCTCCGCGCCTGCTGGTGGTAGTTGGGAGGACTGGTGGTGGGAGGTCGCCACTGCTTCTGGAGGAGCCCGGCCTCCTCAGACTACACGCAGGTCCCAAACCGGGCTCACTTTCTCTCATCCTCGCCTCTTGAGCGTCTGGAGGCCTGCAGTGCCTCCTAAAGAGTCCTCCACCATGCTACCTCTCTCCTCTCCAAGCTAGCCTATCTTCCTGCAGCGCGCGGGAATCTGGGCTTATCACTTCTCTCCTTAAAACGCTTCGATTTATCCCACCGCCCTCCGGATAAAGTCCATTCTTTCTAGCGACTGCTCACAAAGTCCCTATAGGAGCCAGCCTAATTCCCAGCACCTCCTCCCACCCTGCGCCGTCACTTGTCTCCGTGCCTTTAAGCACGCCTTCCCTTCTGCCTGCAAGGTCTTCATCTCTTCCCATTTTCACCCTTGAACTCCTATTCATCCTTCAAGACACCACAGAAAAGTTATTTCCTCTAGGAAGCCCTCCCCCACGTCCGGGGCAGCTAGTCATCCCTTCCGGCGCTTCCACGGCACCTTGGCGGCGGCCATATCTTGAATTTACCCGTTTTGTAACCTTCTGTCTACCCGCCACACCCCCTGACTGCCTTTCTGTCTGAGGCCGGGCGCGGATCTGTGCTAGGAGAAGCTAGCGGCCGGTGCGTGGGCGGGAGTGGGTGGGGCTACGGGGAGGGGAATCTCCCACTGGTGGGCTCCCTCCGCATCCTGTGTGTCCCCCGCTATGACCCTAGCCGTGCGCGCTCCCCTAGATACCTGAGGCGGTTCCGCGAGATGAAACCACGAGTCCTTCAGCGCTGGAGCCGCCAAATCCTGCGTGGGCTCCATTTCCTACACTCCCGGGTACCCCCCATCCTGCACCGAGATCTCAAGTGTGACAACGTCTTTATCACCGGCCCTACGGGCTCCGTTAAGATCGGGGACCTGGGCCTGGCCACGCTCAAGCGCGCCTCCTTCGCCAAGAGCGTCATCGGTGCGTCCCTCCAGGAGGATCCTTGCCATTCCTACCCTCCCTCCCCTTCCCCTGTCCGGAGAGAGCCTGGGGACCCTCTCCCCCAGTAGATTTAGAAGGGGGTTAGAGTTAGAACCCCTCCACGGAGTTAGAAGACCACGGGGAAGATGGGAAGACTTGTGGCATGTTCTCTTCCCCACAACACCCCCACCCAACACACACACACGATGAGACGGGGTGGGTCTCTTGCACTCCAGAATTCGCGGGGTTGCCCCCACCCCCACTTGTACTTTCAAGGAGAGGGACGAAGCCAGAAAAGAGTCACTGACGTCTGCTGTGGATCCTGCAGGGACCCCGGAGTTCATGGCCCCAGAGATGTACGAGGAAAAGTACGACGAGGCCGTGGACGTGTACGCGTTTGGCATGTGCATGCTGGAGATGGCGACCTCGGAATACCCCTACTCAGAGTGCCAGAATGCCGCTCAAATCTACCGCAAGGTCACCTCGGTGAGAAAGAGGACAGGGAATCACAAGTCCCCCTTCCATTTGCCTGTCCCGGCTACCCCGCGGTCATTGCCCTTTCCCTTAATGAAAACGGGGTAGGCACAAAGACGCCCTGGTTATTGGGTGCACTCACGGCCCCTCCAGTACAAGCTGTTTAGAATAACAATGTGTGTAGCGCTCCCTAAAGATTACAGATGATTCAAATACAATCTCGATCCTTTCCGCTGCCCCGCGGGGTGAGCAGGGCAAAAGTTCTGCCCTGCATTTTACAAATGAGGACACCGGCTCAGCGAGAGCCTGGTTCAAGGTCGCACTGTCGATACGTGTGTGTTGGGGTGGGGGGGGGTCGGGGCGGGGGGACTGGGATTTTAAATCAAAACTTCTGAACGCGGACCTGGTGCTTTGGCAACTGCAAGTGCTGCCGCCTTGGGCTGGGGCGGGGTGGGAGGGGGAGGTCAGCAGAGAGCTGGGGCACAGAGAGCGGGAGGCCTCAGGCTACCCCATTCCCCAGGGCACGAAGCCCAACAGCTTCTACAAGGTGAAGATGCCCGAGGTAAAGGAGATCATTGAAGGCTGCATCCGCACGGATAAGAATGAGAGGTGGGTGGAGGGGGCAGGGCGGGAGGGGTGTTGGGGGGGGGCGGGCGGCCGCGGGGCTCGACTCACGTTGGCACCGCCCTCAGGTTCACCATCCAAGACCTTCTGGCTCACGCCTTCTTCCGCGAGGAGCGCGGCGTCCATGTGGAGTTGGCGGAGGAGGACGACGGAGAGAAGCCGGACCTCAAGCTCTGGCTGCGCATGGAGGACGCGCGGCGAGGGGGGCGCCCACGGGACAACCAGGCCATCGAGTTCTTGTTCCAGCTGGGCCGGGACGCGGCCGAGGAGGTGGCTCAGGAGATGGTGAGCGGAGGACAGCATGCCTGCCCCGTAACTGGGCATGTGAGGGGTGTGTGAATGTCATCCGGAGGAGCCAGTGCCTTGCGGGTGCGATGTCTGGGTGGTGGGTTGTCTGGGTGGTGGGCTCAACCAGGTCCTCTCCCGAGTCTCCTACAAATGTCTCCCTACTGCTCTCGCCTTAACGCACCTGCGGGCACACCTAGTGTTCTCCGCAAGTCCAGGATTTCCTTTTTGCAGCCCTGGGTCCCTCAACCTCCCTGTTTTAACTTCCGGCTGATCCGGTTTTCCCGAATTGTCCTTCTCTCCGAGTTATCTATTTTTCTCTTTCTTGTTTTCCCCACCCCATCTTTTTCTTGATCTTGCTTCATGCTTGGAACCGTGCATTTGAGAAAGCCTGTCCGCTCTAGAGTTAAAATTAAATGCTTCTTTCCACTTCAGCAAGCCCTGCATTACGGGACGGGTCTCCATCAGTTTTGTTTTATACCAGGATACATTCCCATCTTTCTCCTCCACTAGGCTCCAAGGTCCTGAGGGCAGAGACTGTGTGTATTGACCCTTCTGCCCCTGACAGTGCATAGCACGTGATGGGAGCTCAGTTAATCACCCACATCCTAGAGCCCTTTCATGTGCATCTGATGGTTGTTACCAACCCTGCATAGAGTGATTTTATCTGATTTACTGCTGAGGAAATGAAAGCTCAAAGAAGCTGAATATCTTGTACCAGGTCCCAAGCAAGTAAGTGGCACAACTGACTCAGGTTGTTCAGATTTTGAGTCAGCTCATCCTGCCCCACCTCCTTTACCTGCCCAGTGAAGCTTGTTATTGAAATGAATAAGGATAATGAATAGAAGCTGGTGGACCAGGAGAGGCATATATGAGAGGCAGAAGGTGTGGGGGTGGTTTAGGTCTGAGGTGGTAAGGGAAGGAGTATGATATTCTTGATGGAAAAATGCAGTTGAAAGGGTGGGAATCATCTATTGGTGGATCTGGGTCAAGAACGTAAGAATGTGTTTGAAATAAGACATAGGAGTCAGTCTCTGTGGCCCAGCTCAAACCTGACCTGAGATTGGGACCTGATCCATTACACACAGAGGTTCTTGACTTTGACACTAGTGACATCATTGTTTGGGAGACTGTGCTATGCTGTTGTAGGTTGTTGAGAAGAATCCCTGGCATCAACTTAGTAGATCCCAGTGGGATCACCCCCCAAGTTGTGACAACTAAAAATATCTACAGTATTTTTCTCCACCCCGCCCCCCCCCCCCCAGAGCAATTGACTTAGAGTATAACCTTGAACTGGTCACTTACTTTACTTATTTCTAAAATAGGGTTGATAAGACCTATCTCAGAAGGTTGCTGGAAGGATTTAATGATGATATGGTAAAGAGTTACCAGTTGGATTTCTCTGGTGGTCCAGTGGCTAGGACTCCGTGCTCCCAATGCAGGGAGTCCAGGTTTGATCCCTAGTCAGGGAACTAGATTCCACATGCTGCAACTGAAGAGCTTACCTGCCACAACAAAGATCCAGTGCAGTCAAGTAAATAAATGACTTTTTAAAAAAATGCCAGTTGTGGACACAGTGGGTAATCAATATATGTTTCTCCTCTTGTATATCCTAGAGGCCTCAAGAAGGTGTCCTGATGCTTTGTTGGGGAACGGTGAATCTCACCTCAAACTGCGTTCCTCACCCTTCCAACTCCAGGTGGCCCTGGGCTTAGTGTGTGAAGCTGATTATCAGCCAGTGGCTCGTGCAGTGCGTGAACGGGTTGCTGCCATCCAGCGAAAGCGTGAGAATCTGCGCAAAGCTAGGGAGTTGGAGGCCCTCCCCCCAGCGCCAGGACCCCCACCAGCCGCTGTCCCCACGACTCCTGGTCCCTCCGGTGCCTTCCCTCCTGAGCCCGAGGAGCCAGAGGCAGACCAACACCAGCCCTTCCTCTTCCGCCATGCCAGCTATTCATCTACCACCTGTAAGTCACCTCTGACATCCCAGAACCCTTGACCTCTGCCCCCCTACCAAGAAGTTCAACCCAACAGCATTGTCACTTACCCAGTCTTCCACATCTAGACAGTGCTCCTTCTGGGAAAGAACTCTCCCACACCCCCAGACCCCCTCCTTGCTCAGGCAGTCCCCTGCTCAGCCATCACCCCCCTTTATTTCCCCTTTTTTGATACCCTCCCTCCCCCACCAGCGGATTGCGAGACTGATGGCTACCTCAGCTCCTCCGGCTTCCTGGATGCCTCAGACCCTGCCCTTCAGCCTCCTAGTGGGGTGCCATCCAGCCCCGCTGAGTCCCATCTCCGCCTGCCCGCGGTGAGAGGGGGTCACATGGGGGGGCTCCCAGCCATTCCAAGCCCACGACCTAGCTCTCATCCTGTAAAACCCAACACCATGACCCGGCCCCATGTCCTTGGAAATCCACCACTCTTGTCCTCATCTTTATTCCCTCTGCCTAATGCCCCAGCACCCTTGATATTATCTTCCTGGAGCCCAACAGTTATCCTCCCCTGATCTCACAAACCCATATCCTGTTTCAGGCTTTCGCTTTATCCATTCCACGTTCTGGCCCCGGCAATGACTTTTCCCCTGGAGAGAGGTAAGTTCTGGTCTGAGTGGGGGCTTCAAGGTGAGCTCTATGGAGCTCTGGGGTCCATTGTCTTTTCCGTTTTCCAGTTATGCCTCAGATGCAGCATCAGGCCTTAGTGATGTGGGAGAAGGGATGGAACGGATGAGGAGACCCCCAGGGAAAAACCTCCGGCGTAGACCCCGATCCCGGCTTCGGGTCACAAGTGTAAGGAAGGGGCCCAGGAGTTCAGGAATAACCTACAGGGCCTGGATGGAACTGTCAGAGGGAGGGGTGTGCGGTCAGCCAGAAAGGGTGAGAAGCACTGGTCACTCCTACCCAAGAGGCCGCCGGTCATGTTTTCAGTACGAGACTTTGGGGGCAGAATCTGCTTCTCTCCGGTTCCAATCTGGCCATTGTGACTTGGGTGGAGAGGGGTGGGGACACTTGATGAAGACAGAGCTTGACCTCCTCCCCTCTGCTGACTTTGACCCTGAAGGTCTCAGACCAGAATGACAGAGTGGTTGAATGCCAGTTGCAGACGCACAACAGCAAGATGGTGACCTTCCGATTTGATCTGGATGGGGACAGCCCAGAAGAGATTGCAGCTGCCATGGTGAGGGAGAGATGAGAGCACAGTCTATAGATTTGAGACAAGAGTCTCCCTCCTGATGTCCCTGGGTGCTGAACTGCCCCACCCCCCCACAATCTAATGACAAGGGTTTCAAAGCTGCCGGGCCCTCAGTGCAGTGGCACTGAAGACTTATCTGCCCTTGTTTGGGAGGAGATTTCTGTTTATCCAGGGAGGTTTGGATCCTCAGCTGGAGCAATTTGAGACTAACACAAGGTATCTATAAGTGCTGCGGTGAAGTGTATACTAGACACGTGATGCTGTGGTTATAAGGAAAGGATCAGCAGTGGAAGAGGAAGGACTCATGCAAGGTCTTAACAGATGGGTCAGAATGGCAGTGATGAGTGGAAAGGGTGTGTCTAGTGGTGGTATGGCAAAGGAGAGGCATGGGAACAGGGAGTGACTTGAAGTATAGGGCTGGGAGGGCTTCTTGAGGAGACCTTTGTCACTAGAATTAAGGGTTCCTCTTGGAAGCAATAAGATCCTGCTGTAAAGCAGAGAACTATATTCAGTATCCTAGGTAGTAAACCATAATGGAAAAGAATATTAAGAAAGAATGTGTGTGTATATATATATATATATATATTATATATATATATATATATATATATATATATCACTTTGTTGTACAGCAAAACTTAACACAACATTGTAAATCAATTATACTTCAATTTAAAAAAAGTTTTGTAGAAGTGAGGTTGGGCATGTAATATGTGCTTAAGCATGTAATGTGAGCATGTAATGTGTAATGGAGTCTTAAGAGTTAGAGTGTAACACCATGAGAATAGGTTTTAAGAAGACGGTTCTGTTGTGGGATGTGGGAGAGGGCTGTGGGTAGGGTATCCAGTTGGGAGATGGACGCAAGAAGCCAGGTGTGGTCCAAGCAGAGAATGGATTATGGGGGAGGAGGAAGGAAAGGGGTGAATCTGGGGGTTATTTTGGGAAAATAACCTACTGTGTCATCCAGTGATTGATTGACATAGTACAGTGCACATGGAAGATGGTCAGTAAGTACTTGATGAGTTGATATGAGAGGGAGTTAGGGCGAGGGATATCAAGGGTGACCTGTAGCTTGGAGGAACTCATGGGAATAGGCCATCAAGGAGATAAGAAGTTTTAAAATGAGAGTATGGCTTTGTTTTTTGGAGGGGGATGAGCTTGGATGACAGAGGGGCAGGCAAGATAAGATCCTGCATAAGTAAACAGAATATGGGTCAGGCAGGACTGGGAGAGGAGTGGATCTGGGAGTCTCAGCACAGAGTTGAACACGAGAGAAGATGGACCTGCAAAGCCAGAGGCGTAGAGGAGTATCTTAGTAGATACCCCCAGTTCTGGAACGGGGAGCAGGGATAGGTTATCAAAGGACAGAGACGGAACCTGAAACATAGAAGGAACTCTGGAATATTACAGTAAAAACGGAAGAAGGAGATTGCTTCGAGGAGGCATAGGGTGAGGCCTGAGGCAAGACCACACTGGCTTTTGTCAGGAGGACGTCTTTGTGGGAGACCAGTTTCAGTGGAGTGGGGGCGGTGGCTGCCAGCCTCTGGGGTGCGGGAGGGAAGGGAATGGAGTAAACGTCAGACTTCAGGAACTCCCTCTAAAGCTTCTTCTCCATCATGTCATTCAGCTTGTGTCTGGGATAAAAACAAAACAGCACCTGGCATGCAGGCTTATCAACTTCTGTCAAGCCACTCAGCCCTTCAGGAATCTTTCATCCAGCCACACTGGTTTCTGAATGGTCCTCTGGAGAGGCCTATGTGCCTTTTCAGCTTCTGCTTCCATCTCTTCAGGGGTCTCTCTCCATGGGAGCTTTCTCTATGAGCTTTCAGGCCCAATTCAGATCCCATACAACCAGAGGGACCCTGTCCCTCAACCCAGGGTCCATTGCCTTCTTTTCTTTCCTTACTAGCCCACACTCCCTTCCTTGGCAGCAGAATTCTCTCAAGACTTTAAATTTGCTTTTTTGCCCCCAAATCGACAGTGGCTACCTGTGGTTACAGAGTAAGGTCCAAATTCTGCAGCGTGGCCTTTAAAATTCACAGCACTCTCAGCTGTACTTCAGTCTTTGCTATTTTGTGAATGTGCCCTTTGCTGCCTCAGAACAGTGCAGAACAGAGGAAAGGATGGAGGTTCACATAAGACCTGAGTTCCAACTTCAGCTCTGTTAGCTACTAATTTGGCAAACTTGGACAAGTTTCTTAACCTTTCTGAACAGCATCAGTAAAACGCAGGGGATGTTACTTATTTTGCAAAGATGTTCTGATGGGCTTCCCTGGTGGCTCAGATGGTAAAGAGTCTGCCTGCAGTGCAGGAGACCCGCCTTTGATCCTTGGGTTGGGAAGATCCCCTGGAGAAGCAAATGGCAACCCACTCCAGTATTCTTGCCTGGAGAATCCCATGGACAGAGGAGCCTGGAGGGCTACAGTCCATTGGATAGCGAAGAGTTGGGACGCAACTGAGTGACTAACACTTCTCACTTTTCTGATGTAATATATGAGAAATGATATAGCATGTATGAGAAGTGAAATGATAAAAGTATGGGAAATGTCCACATGTGGTAGGTCCTCAATAAAGGGTTGCTTTTCTTAGTCATCCTTTAAGGCTCAGCTCTGGAGCCATCTCAGCTCCCTGCTGTCCCCTGAAGTGGTATGAACTGCTTTCTTCTTGGAATGGTGTTTTATTTTATTTATTTCTACTTATTTATTTATTTTTGGCCAAGCCATGTGGCAGGTGGGATCTTTCCCCACCAGGGATTGAACCCAGGCCCCCTGCTTTGGGAGCACAGAGTCTTAACAACTGGACCACCAGGGAAGTCCTGGAATGGCATTTTTAAAAATCATGGTAAAAAACACGTAAAGTGTGTCATTTTAACCGTCTTGAAGTGTACGGGTCAGTAGTGTAAAGTATATTCATATTGTTGGGCAATAGGTCTCTGGAACCGTTTTATCTTGCCAATCTGAATCTCTACCCATTAAACAGTGGCTCTCCCTTTTCCCCTCCGGGAATAGCACTTTTATCTGTACCTCAGTCATAAATGCCTTGCCTGCCTTAGACTGACTTGCAGTCTATCGAGTTAGGTATGTGTGTGTCTCTTCCACTAAGATTTTGGGCTTCTTTGGGACCAGGACAGTGTTTTCTGCTTTCTTGTTCCCTCAAAGAATCTAGCCTATGCCTGGTGCATAAAACACTCAATAAGTGTTTGCAGACCTGAATGCTGGCGCATAAAACTCAATAAGTGCTTGTAGGCCTGAATGTTATATTTATCACATATTGCCTTATTTTTACTTAACTCTGTGGAGCTGTGTGGCACATTTTATAAGCTGTATGAGAGCAGGAGTTGTGTCCAAAAGCAGGTGAGGCATCAGTGGAAATATAACTCAGGTTTTGGCTTTAGACAGATCTGGGTGCAAATCCCGTGATCTTGGGAGGACTGAACTGCACCTCGTTGAGCATTGATTAGTATGACTCTAAAGTAGGCGTGTTCATGTAGACCACAGTAAGCTGTTGTTGGTGTCAAATGTGATAAGATACGTAAAGATCTGGTATAAACACGCATGCTATGAGGGTTAGCTCCCTTCCTCTACGCTGTATTTCTCCTTACAACCACACAGTGCCTGGCACACAGTTGATGTTTACTAAATACTTGTTTTAGATTGATGAGCAGAAGCAGTGGGGTGAAGGGTTGGTTTTTTAAAGAGTTCATTTTGGGACAAGTGGAATTAACCAAGCCCCCCTTCCCCTTCCTACTGACACTCACCAGGTGTATAATGAGTTCATTCTGCCCTCGGAGCGAGCTGGATTCCTGAACCGGATTCGGGAGATTATCCAGCGAGTGGAGACCTTGTTGAAGAGAGATACTGGCCCTGTGGAGGCCACTGAAGACCCTCTGAGTACCCAGGTCAGACCCCTGTGGGCACCTCCAGGGGGATGGGACTTTGCTACAGGCTTAATTACTCTTTGCCTCCACCAGCCCCCTTGGATCTAGCTTGTCTTCATCTCTAGGATCCCAAAACAATGGCTCTTCCCCCATTTGAGAGTTTGATGAAAGCCATGGACTCTTGTTCCAGAAAAATGTGTTCAGTACATACTTTTAACTCAGTATTTTGTCATAATTTCAGACCTACAGAGAAGTTACAATAGTTGTACAAAGAACTCCTGGGTGCTCTGTCTAGATCTGCTAGTAGTATTTTGTTAATGACCTTTAGCCTTCTCCCTTCCTCTCTCCCCATCCACCTGTGTGCATGCATTCTTTTTTTGGAAACATTTAAGTTGCAGATGTTGTGCCCCTTTACCACTAAATATTTCTTGAAAACACTTTTTAATCCCTTGAAACTCATCTGTGGGCTCATAGAGGCTCATGAGTCCTGGCTTAAGACGCCCAGCCTGGAACCTTCCATCTAAGACTCAACTCTTCCCACTGTGACATTTCTCTCTCTCAGGAGGAGCCAACACCACTGCCTGCTCTCCTGGGGTACCCCCCAGATCCACCTAGGGGTATGTACTGCATTCTGTCCCTACTCATCCCACCCCTGGGGTTGCTCCATGGGACTGGACGACTGGAATCTCAGCCTTCCCTCCCTCTCTTCCCAGCAGAGCTCCAGAGCAGCACCTCCCTGGAGCAGAGATCCTGGGCAGCTTTCTCTGCCTCCACATCTCCTGGAACCTCCTTGTCTTCTGGAAACTCCTTTTCTCCTGGAACCCCTGTTTTCCCAAGTCCCATCCTTCCCATCACTTCTCCCCCATGTCATCTCAGCCCCTCCTCATTCTCCCCAGTTTCTCCTCAGGCCTCCTCAAATCTCTCTCCACACCCCCCAAGCTGCCCACTTCCATTCCCCCCCAGTGCACCCCAGTTTCCAGTCCCATCTCAGTTTCCACAGAGTTCTCTCCTGCCCGATGGTTTCCAGGTCACTCTCACTCCTCCCTCCTTTCCCCCCTGCCCCTCTGCTTGTCCCCTCCCCTCCACCACTGCAGCCCCTCTCCTCTCTCTGGCCAGTGCCTTCTCTCTGGCTGTGATGACCGTGGCTCAGTCCCTGCTGTCCCCGGCCCCTGGGCTCCTGTCCCAGTCTCCTCCAGCTCCTCCTGGTCCTCTCCCTAGCCTGCCCCCTCCCATTCCCAGTACTCCTTGTGGCCAGGAGCGGCCTTCATCGCTGACAGCTGAGATGGAGAGTGAGGTGAGTAGGAAACCAAGAGGGATGATTGGGCGGCAGGGGCTGGGGGCGGGTGGGCTTCACTCTGGATCATTTCTCTACTCACAGACCCACACTTTATAGGCCTCTCCGAATCTTGGTCAGTCACTTCCGGGTGAAGCCAGATTGGCGCCCATCTCGGAAGGTGAGACCTTTGAACACTGACCCTCTCCTGCCCATCATTCTCAGTGACTTTATTTCCTACCACTGATTTCTCTTCCTTCTTGCCTGATGCCTTCTTTGTCTTGCTACAGAGGGAAAGCCTCAGCTTGTTGGGCGCTTCCAAGTGACTTCATCCAAGGAGCCAGCTGAGCCCCTTCCCCTGCAGCTGGCATCCCCAACTCCCTCTGGCTCCCCGAAGCCTCAAACCCCTCAGCTGACCTCGGAGAGCTCGGACACGGAGGACAGTGCTGGAGCCAGGCCAGAGGCCAGGGAGGCTCTGGCTGAAAGTGACCGTGCAGCTGAGGGCCTAGGGGCTGGAGCTGAAGAGGAAGGGGACGATGGGCAGGGACCCCAAGCAGGGGGCAGCCCTCCACCCCTGAGCCATCCCAGCCCAGTGTGGATGAGCTACTCCTGTAACAGCCTGTGTCTGAGCAGTGAGGAGTCAGAGAGCAGTGGAGAGGACGAGGAATTCTGGGCTGAGCTGCAGAATCTTCGGCAGAAGTGAGTCTGGGGAGAATGGTGGGCAGGAGGTGGACTTGCCAGAGCCAAGTGTTGGGCCAGCCCTCTCATGGCCCTGGCGTGTCCTCAGGCACTTGGCAGAGGTGGAGGCACTACAGACACTACAGAAACAGGAAATCGAGGACTTGTACAGCAGGCTTGGGAAGCAGCCCCCGCCAGGGATCGTGGCCCCCGCTGCTATGCTGTCCAGCCGCCAGCGCCGCCTCTCCAAGGGCAGCTTCCCCACCTCACGGCGCAACAGCCTGCAGCGTTCTGAGCCCCTGGGCCCTGGTGAGACAGAAGTCACCAGCTCCCATCATTCCAGGGTCCCCTCCCTAGTGATCTGACTTTCTTTCTGGCCCTGGGGATCTGCCCCTTGGTGTGGGGGGGCCAGCCCCCCACTTTCCCCTGTGGCCCCTCCCCTCATTGAGTGCTCTCCCTCCCCATCCTGCACCCAGGCATCATGCGAAGGAACTCCCTGAGCGGCAGCAGCACCGGCTCCCAGGAGCAGCGGGCAAGCAAGGGGGTGACATTCGCCGGGGATGTTGGCAGGATGGTGAGGGCGGGCCCCAGGGAGGGAGAGCCTAGGGAATGGCAACTGGCTTCAGCTTCAGCCTCCTCCAGCTCTGGAGGTTCCTTAGGACTTCTTCTTTTCCCTCCAGTGAGTTCTGAACAGAGGCCCTGTGTCTCACCCACACCTGGGCCCACCATGGAGCTTGTGCCCTTAGAATCTGCTGACCAGCACAACCCTGCAAGGAAGACCTCAGCACTGAGGGAGTAGGCGGCCAGACGGGCATGGACAGTGCTGCTCCCCTAGAAGAGCCAAACATGTGGGAACTGTTTGCTGTGTGTAGAAGGTGTACGTTCTGTAAATCCTCATCCTTGCCGCCTCCCCAGCAGAGAACCACTAAACAGTCCCACCTGAGTCCAGATGCTTCTAGAAGGCACACTCCCAGTTGGGCAGGAGGAGGGAGAATTAGTAGCAGCCAATAAAAATTCTGGAACCTAGAACCTGGCGAATCTGTATGGATCTTAGAAACAGGGCAAAGCTCTGTGGGGGAACTTCCCCGGTGGTCCGGTGGTTAAGGACCCATCTCTCAGTGCAAGGGACTAGGGTTCCATCCCTAGTCAGAGAAGATTGCACATGCCACAGGGCCGCTAAGCCCATGTACCACAACCGCAGAGCCTGCACGCCCTAGAGCCTGTGCTGTGCAGAGAAGCCACTGCAATAAGAAGCCCACGCACCACAGCGAAGAGTAGCGCCTGCTTGCTGCAACTTGAGAAAACCCACGAGTAGTGATGAAGAACCAGCACAGCCAAAAAAGCTTTGTAGTAGGGTAAGGCAGGGGAGGATTTAGAAGGAATTCCTCTCTCACAATGGGAGGCAGGGGTGGAACCCAGCCTTCGGGCTTCCTGCCAGCAGTTCATGAAGAAACTGCAAGGTCAATAATCCACCTGACCAAGCTAAGATTCCACCCAGACTCCACCTTAGGCCTACACAAGCAGGGCCCAGTGGAAGTTAATGAAAGCTGCTTGTCCATCCTTCCTTTACCTCTGGAGAAGGGAGAAGGCAGTCAAGTTGAGCGTAGTGTGTTCCTGAGGGTTGAGGACAGAAGAGTGACCTTCCTCCCCGCCCCCAAGAGCTGGTTCAGTCTCAAAACGGCCCAGTGACCCACCACAATCTCTCCCTTAAGTCAGGTGGAACGATCTCATGGAAAAAGTAATTCTAGTTAAACATTTACAGCTCCCTGGGGCAATGGTGGCTCAGATGGTAAAGTGTCTGCCCACAGTGCTGGAGCCCTGGGTTCAATCCCTGGGTCGGGAAGATCCCCTGGAGAAGGCAACGGCAACCCACTCTGATACTCTTGCCTGGAAAATTCCATGGACAGAGGAGCCTTGTAAGCTACAGTCCATGGAGTCGCAAAGAGTCAGACACGACTGTGTGACTTCACTTGGGGCAATATCACTGCTGCAGCTGCTGCCTGTGAAGTGCTTCAGCATGAAGTGTCAGCCCCAACACACTCATTGGACTCGGAGAGAAATGATTCAGTTTATTATTTTCAACCTGACCCCATCTTTCCCACTTTAGGCTCCAACACTGCACAGAGCTGCCACACCCACCCCCATAATAGCCCACCTCTTGTCTTCCGCACTCCAAATCAGCCCCCAGGGGAGTTTAAGAGGATTAAACCATGAAGTCAATGCTTGGGAAAAGCCAAGGTGGATACTTCAAACAAGGAAACAAACTAGGAAACAAACAAAGGGGTCAGTGGCCACACAGAATCAAGGTTAGGTGGGCGTTGTTCCCTTGACAATGGCACAAACCCCAGCGACTTGGACCCCTATCATGGTCCAAAGTTAGTAAGACGGCCAGCAATGCAGGCTTCAACTTCTACAGGCTCATGGAACATCATCCATCATGTGAAGGGACTCCAGCAGGTTAGACATGCACCATGCCCATCTGGATCAGTGTCCTGATGCCCTTTCCAGAGCTCGGGCTCGAGCAGCTTTGGCCTCATCTTCCAGCTCATCCAGGAAACGCTCCTGGGACACCGAGTAGAAGGTGTAGCCATCTGGGGAGGTGGGTTCAGGAAACCACGTGGAATATGCGCATTCCCTTTTCTGATTTGCTCCACCACCTTTGTTTATCTCATCCTCCCAAATCACCTGCCCTCTGCTCCTCTGAGCCCTGACCCTGACTCCGTTATCATTAATAAATTATATTAAAAGAGCACCTTTACAATGACAAAGTAAGGTACACTTAAATTCTTGGCTCGGCGTTAGAAGTAGTCAAGGTTTTCATAGCTCCGGCTCTTTCTACCACCCCCGCACTGCCCTCCTACACGCCTTTGCTGCCCTTCCCCTGCCCTCAAATGCGGTCTCCCCGAGTCTATAGTCCAGATGGATACAAATTGCTAATACCAGGGCCCCAATGCCCAGGCCAGTCACGATGTTCCGGGTCCGCCGTTGTGGCAGCGTCTTCTGCCACTGGGCGAGCTGCGCCTGCTGCATGAATTGTAGTTGTGCAGGAGTCAGCTTCTCCCGAGTCGGGTCGATGCGCTGAGCCAGCGGGGCCTTTCCGCTTTTGGCATCCACCGGGTCTCCAGCTCCGGGTGCCGCCATGTTGCCGCTCTTGCCCTTCGCTGGTCCCGGACGCGGTGCTTGCTGGGAATGGCAGTCCTCGGCCTCGGAAGGGAACCCTGGGAGCTGTAGTCCGTCTTTCTGTTTACAAAGAGGGCGGCTCGGGGCCCAAGGGAAAGGGCGGGGCAGGAGAGAAGAGGCCGTGCTTTCCGATTGGCTCAGGGCCCGCGGCCGTTGGGGCGGGAAAAGGCTGTGGAAGGCTCGAGGCTGTGTTGGGAAGTGGGTTTTCCTCAGACTGGAGGCGAGGACAAGTGCACGGAAGGCGACGAAGAATCTAGGGTGTGGCAGAAGACTCTGAAGAGAGGTTAAAGGCGTGGGTTTATGAGCCGTCCGGGTACCCAAACACGGTTCTGAAGATGGACCGACCCAAGAGGCCAAGATTGTCCTCTCTCAGTGACTTTCGGTTTGGAGCTGTTGCCACAGAGACCATCGAAGACACTCTGCTCTACTTGGCCCAGCAGAATGAGCAAGCCGTGCAGGAGGCTGCCGGCCGGATGGGCAGCTTCAGGGAGACCCGGATCGTGGGTGGGGATGCAGGCCGGGGAGCTGGTATTATGGGAGACCCGGGCACTTGTCTTTGAGGCACCGATCTTGAGATTCATTATGCGTTATTCCTTCAAGTTTCGTTAGTACCTACTATATGCCAGGCGTTGGGGTGGGGGTACAGTGATGAGCCAGATTCACCAGCCCCCCACCCTTGATTTCAACTAAACTCAATAGAATACTTACTCTCCTTGCCTCCTAGGATAGAAAGATGAAAAAGAGGTCTAGTCCCAACTTTTATTTATTTATTTATTTATTTATTTACTCCCAACTTTTAAATCATGTATATAATCTTCGGAGACTACTAGGACAAATCTGCAAATGACTAGGTACAAGCATGGTTAGATAAGTGACATACCACATAAAACAAGCTTTTATGGAGACTGAGAAGAAAGATGGAGTGCGGTGGGAGTAGGGTGAATTAAGGAGTCCTCCGAGCATCATGGTGTTTAAGGTAGACCCTGAAGAATGACATTTTGGTTGGTGAAGGTGATGCTTCTTTCTTTTTTCTGGCTGTGCTGGGCAGCTTGTGAGAGTTCCCCAACCAGGGATTGCCTTAACAGTAGAAGCGCCAAATCCGAACCACTAGACCATGGGAACTCCCAGGACCATGTTTCTGCTAAAACAGAATAACATGAGTCAAGCAATGGAATAGGGACACTTTGAGTGAATGTGGGTACTATGTCATCCAGGTTGGCCAGAGTGGAAGAGTAGTTGAAATTCAGACCAGAAAGGTGGTTTGGATACTTTCCATGGGGAATTTTGAATGCCAAAGTGAGGAGTTTATATGTGACATAATAGGAAAACAAGAAGGCATTAAAGGGTTTTGTTTCCTTTTTTCATATGGGAGTTCTATAACTGCAACCTTTGCCTTAGAAAAAATTATTTTGGCTGTGATGTAAAGGATGGGTAGGAGTAGAGAGATATAGGGGGTAGGTTGTCCAGTGGAGTCTTTGTCAGTCATTATTTTTTAGGTAATAAGACAGGAGAAATGGCAAGACAGGATAGATTAAAAACATTTCAGAGGTAAAATCTAGGGTTCTGTAATGGATGAATTTAAGAAGTGAAAAAGGGGAAGATGACTATATCAAAGGGTTGAGCCTAGACATACAGTGTTGCCATTAAGAGAAACACACATACAGAAAAAGAAAAAGCAAAAAGGAAACGTGACTTGTTTGGGAAATAAAATAGTTTTGGTTTGAGATCTACTGAGTTTCAGATGCTTGTGGGACATCTGGAGGAAGGTTTCTGGCAGGTTGTTTAAAAATTTAAGTTGGAAGAGAGGCCCAGTAAAGATGAGGGTTTGGGAGTTATCTCCATAGTGATACTGCTGAAACTGGCAGAGGATGAGCTCTTAGAAGCGGAATCTAGTACAGTTTCTTGGGAGACATTTTGTGTTCAGGTAAGTGGAGAAGGAAGAAGGATCATGAAGGAAATAAATGGAATGGTTGGGGAGATAGGAGCAGAACCAAGAGACCCTTGGAAACAAGAGGAGAATTTCATGAAGGATGATGGTCAGCAGTTTCAGATGCTTCAGAGATGTGAACAACAGGGATGAGGATTGCAATTTGGACGTATTTTCTGACCCTTGAGACAATCATTTCGGCAAATTGTAAAAAGTAGAAGCCAAATTGCAGAATATGAGGGACTGTGTGATTAAGTGGTAGTAGCAGCAGGTATAAGCTAGGCTTTCCAGAGTTTTCACAGTGGTAGAGGCTACAGAGATAGAGCCCTAGTTTAAGAGAATGGAAGGGGAGCGTCTTTTAGTTAATCGATTTGAGTATGTTTGTATAATAAGTACAGGAGATGGAGCCAGCAGCAGGAGAGAGGTGTAACCCTCATCTAGTCCACCTAACCCAAACTGTTTTCTTGACAAGTTAAAATGGAAAATTTTAAAAAATGGAAAATATAATAGAAACAATTGCCCAGATATTAATAGTTAATAATTCAAATAAAAAGCAAAACAACTATAAACACACCCCTCCCCACAAAAATAAAGAAATGAAATCTGCTGCTGCTGCTAAGGCGCTTCAGTCATGTCCGACTCTGTGCGACCCCATAGACGGCAGCCCACCAGGCTCCCCCGTCTCTGGGATTCTCCAGGCAAGAACACTGGAGTGGGTTGCCATTTCCTTCTCCAATGCATGAAAGTGAGAAGTGAAAGTGAAGTCGCTCAGTCGTGTCCGACTCTTAGTGACCTTATGGACTGCAGCCTACCAGGCTCCTCTGTCCATGGGATTTTCCAGGCAAGAGTACTGGAGTGGGGAAATGAAATCTAGGCTCCAGCAAAGAAAAGGACTGGCTAATGACACAATTATGAGTTCTAGGATACTTTGCTTAATTGCTGAAACTGATTATCTTCTTCATTGGACACTGTTAGCAGAGCTTTAGCCTCTGTCGTGATGAGGTTTTGTACATATAGCTATGTGTGACCTGTGTCAAGTAGATTGTTAAACTGTTTTGTGCTAAATTTTATAATTTTTTTCCTTTAAGTTAGATTTTCTCTGAAGATATATGGAAATTTGACTGTTTGTAATTCTTTGTTGATCAATGCCCACAGTTCCTAGTTCTGCAGGACCTTTGAGAGCTAACATTTATCCTTGTTTCCACCCTCTAATGATATTGCTAACTAAGTAGAATTCTATCTGGGGCTGTTCTTTCAAAGAGAAACACAGACAGCCTAAAATCTTGCCAAGGTATCTTACCCTTCCCACCTTCCCAATGACTTGCCCCCCACCCAAGCTGGACCTTGTTCCCTGATTTAGGGCATAATTCTGCCGAACAAGCCACTTCACAGTAACAAACTTGCTCCTGGAGGAGGCTCAGCCACCAAAGATTTACCCAACAAACTGGTGGTGGAGAGGTGGTGTCCAGCTGTAAGGTGAATTGTGTTTGTAAAGCAATGGGAGTTCTCCAGAGGGTGGTTACTAAACAAACAGTGTTATAAAGAATATCCAAGCTCCAGGAGGGACCTTTTTGTTCCTGTCAACATTCCACTGAAAACAGAATATATGAGTTAGGGTTTTTATCTATCCAAGAATCTCTCTTGAAGCCGGAGGTTCCCAGCATGGCGTAAAGGCCAACGAGACCAGCTGGTTTGTTTGTGTGTAGCTGGCCAAGCCTTTTACCAGCTGAGACCCACAGGAAGGCTCAAGGGGCCCTGAGGGGGCTTAGTAAGCCTTTGTTTTTGCACTCAGTCAGCCTCCTTTTCATGCTTCTCATCTGCCTCTTGGCAGCAAAGGGAACCAGGCTCCGCTTGGATTGTTTCAGTCTCATCTTTCGCACCTCCTGACCCTCTTCCCTGAGTCCCATCATGGCTTTTATACAACGCCAAGAGTTCCCAGAGTCGTTTTGGTTGCACCTTGTGAATCAGGCTCTCCTTTCCTGTCTTGGCAGAGTTTGTTTTTCTCCTGTCTGAACAATGGTGTCTGGAGAAATCCGTGAGCTACCAGGCTGTAGAAATCCTAGAAAGGTAAAGCCCTGAGCATAAGGCCTTTGTGAGGGGTAACTCTCAGGATGGCTAATGTACCCATATCTTAAAAAAAAATACTAGTTGCTTCTTACTGTGAGGCCAGGTTTGTACATTACTTGCAAATGTATTTTTTTTTAAGTTTTGTATTTTTTAAAATAATATTTTATTTATTTTTGACTACTCTGGAACATTGTTGCTTTGTTCAGACTGTCTCTAATTGCGGCAAGCTGGGGCTACTCTTCATTGTGGTGCAAGGACTTATTGAGGTGGCTTCTCTTGTTGATGGGCACAGACTCTAGGCCCATGGGCTTCAGTAGTTGCAGCTCATGGGCTGAGTTGCTTCATGGCATGTGGAATCTTCCTGGATCAGGGATCGAACCTACATTCCCTGCAATTCTTATCCACTATGCCACCAGGGAAGTCTGCATATGTAAATTTTTTTAGCCAGCAATTGGATATTAGAGAGGATAAGATGTAGCATAGTTTGAAGCACAAACTCATTTAGTCTCAGTGGGTGTGGATTGATTCCTCTGCTCTTTCCCTTCTTTACAGGTTTATGGTTAAGCAGGCAGAGAACATCTGCAGGCAAGCTACAATTCAGCTGAGAGGGAAGTCAGAGCCTCAGAATTGGAGGGCTCTGAAAGAGCAGCTTTTCAACAAGTTTATCCTGCGTCTTGTGTCATGTGTTCAGCTGGCGAGCAAACTTTCCTTCCACTACAAAGTAAGGAGCTAGGGTGACTCGTGGACACCTAAGTGTTAGAGAGAAACCAGCTCATTCAAGGGTGGCTTTGAGAAACCCACTCCTAGGGCTAGGTGATGCTACTCATGCGGAAATGCCAGAGTGTAATCATGCTTCCTAAGCAGACCTCCTACACACACACACACACACACACACACACACACACACACACACACAGAGTCACTCAGACCTCCTACACACACATACACACACACACACACAGAGTCACTCAGACCTCCTACACACACACACACACACACACACACAGAGTCACTCAGACCTCCTACACACACACACACACACAGAGTCACACAGACCTCCTACACACACACACACACACACACAGAGTCACTCAGACCTCCTACACACACACACACACACACACACACACACACACACACACACAGAGTCACTCAGACCTCCTACACACACACACACACACATACACACAGAGTCACACAGACCTCCTACACACACAGAGTCACACAGACCTTCCACACACACACACACACACAGATCTAGTCACACAGACCTCCTACACACACACATACACACACACAGAGTCACACAGATCTCCTAGTCACACAGACCTCCTACACACACACACACAGTCACACAGACCTCCTACATAGTCACACAGACTTCACACACACACACACACACAGACCTCCTACATACACACACAGTCACACAGACCTCCTACACACACACACACACACACAGAGTCACTCAGACCTCCTACACACACACACACACACACAGAGTCACTCAGACCTCCTACACACACACACACACACACACAGAGTCACTCAGACCTCCTACACACACACACACACACACAGAGTCACTCAGACCTCCTACACACACACACACACACACACACACACACACACAGAGTCACACAGACCTCCTACACACACACACACACACACACACAGAGTCACACAGACCTCCTACACACACACACACACACACAGAGTCACTCAGACCTCCTACACACACACACACACACATACACACAGAGTCACACAGACCTCCTACACACACACACACACACACACACACACACACACAGAGTCACACAGACCTTCCACACACACACACACACACAGATCTCCTAGTCACACAGACCTCCTACACACACACATACACACACACAGAGTCACACAGATCTCCTAGTCACACAGACCTCCTACACACACACACACACACACAGTCACACAGACCTCCTACATAGTCACACAGACTTCACACACACACACACACAGACCTCCTACATACACACACAGTCACACAGACCTCCTACACACACACACACAGACCTCACACACACACACACACAGTCACACAGACCTCCTACACACACACACACACAGACCTCACACACACACACACACAGTCACACAGACCTCCTACATACACACACACAGTCACACAGACCTCCTACACACACACACACAGTCACACACATACACACAGTCACACAGACCTCCTACACACACACACACACACACACACACACACATACACACACACACAGTGCTGTTATTAACCTGAAGTTCTGTTCCCAAAGTATAATTGCTGGACAGATGCCATCATTCATACAGGTCACCTTTCCTCCCCTTGGACTCAAGGACAGTTTACATAAAGTGCCTGAATTGCCAACCTACATAGTAGTATTAAAGGCAAAAAAACTATTGCATTTATAAAGGACACAATGTTTCCACATCACTATGTGATTCTGGTATAGTAAAGTATCATTTATTCAACAAATATTTATTGTCTTCTATGGTGCCGTAGCTACAAGAGTAAAAATATTGTCTGTGCTCTCAAGGAATTTATTATCTAATGGGAGAAGACACACAAATAAATGTGGGAAAGTGTTCTGATTAGTGTGAATACAGAGGGCTGTGAATGTACTTAATCAGCCTTGGGGAGACAAGAAAGAGTATTTAGAGAAAATTATTTTTTTTTAAACAACAGAACATTTATTCATTATATTCCACCTGTTGTTAAGCACTATCTCCACTCCCATCTAGAGGTGTTTCTATCAGTTCTGCCTCTCTTTGAGATTAATTAAAAAATTTTAATAATAATTATTTCTTGCTATTAACTTACAGTAATGCATTATTCTTTTAATTGTTATCCAGGAATGTTTCACTGCCTGTATGCTTTAGTTTAAGTTGAATACAAATGGTGAGGGCAGACATCTTTGCTTTTTCACAATCTTAGGGAGAAAGCATTCAATTTCTCACCATTACAAATGATGTTAGCTATAGGATTTTTGGTATATCACTTTAACCAATAAAGTGACTTCTTGAATGGGAGGGTGGGGGGATGGGTGGATCCTAAGGGGAGAGGGGGCATAGGTAAGGAGAGCAGTAAGGGAGGTGTGTGGGGGGTGGGGGCAGAGGGAGATGCAGACATGGGAAACGTGTAGACACCTGGAGAGCCTGTGGGTTTGGGAACGCAAGTAATTCTGTGTAGGCATAGAGTATAGGGGGGAATTACCAAGAGAGAAGCTGAGATAAAGGCAAGAACTGGATTGTGAAGGGCTTTGTTTACTATGCCAAGATGTATGACCTCTATTCTGACAACCGGCTCTCCCTTTCACTATCTTTTGGTTTTGTTTGCTCAGATAATCAGCAACATTACAGTCCTGAATTTCCTCCGGGCTCTAGGGTATCTTCACACTAAAGAAGAACTGCTGGAATCAGAGCTTGATGTTTTGAAGTCCCTGAACTTCCAAATCAATCTGCCTACTCCTCTGGCATATGTGGAGATGCTCCTGGAGGTTTTAGGTACTTAATTGTGTTGGGCATGCAAGTTGGAGTCTTCCATAAGAAGGCAGAACTTCCATAGAAGTTCCTAGGGGGATATCCCTGGTGGTCTAGTGCTTAAGACTCACGCTTCCACTGCAGGGGGCATAGGTTAGATCCCTGGTCAGGGAAGTAAGATCCTGCATGCCTCGGGGGTGATCAAAAAAAAGATAGAAAAGGAATGTGCTTAAGGGTTTGAGGGCAATGGGCAGAACCTGCCAGTGAGGAACAGCAGTTTTCAGTTTCCTCCAGTACTTGTCAGGGAAAGAACCATGTCTCCGCACCTGACTTCTATTTGGACTCATTAGGCACACTCTTATTGTAAGATCAAAGAGTTGATTTTATAGAGGCATGAGATAAGAGGGGAACAAGCAAATAGGTTCCAATTATATATATATATATATATATATATATCGTAGATGAAGGTTTCTCTACTTCTCCCTTTGTCCTTTAAAATCGACCTCCAGCTAGAGGTTTCTTACAGCAGAACTTAGCAACCAGGAAGCACACTAGCAGCTCAGCAGCTTCGTTTCGCATGACAACTGTGATTACAATCAGACACAGATAATGCTCTTTACCATGCGCATACTCCACCTAGGATACAATGGCTGTTTGGTCCCAGCCACACAGCTGCATGCAACCTGCCTGATTCTGCTTGACCTAGTCTATCTTCTGCATGAACCTGTGTATGAAAGCCTGCTGAGGGCTTCAATTGAGAACTCCACACCCAGTCAGCTGCAAGGGTAAGGCAACTCCTGTACTGTAGGCTCCTTCCAGAAACAGGGAGTCAGTAACGTATCACGAGAACTTGGGAAATGGAATTTACCTAGCAAGGCACCTAGGCCACAGATAACCTGCACGGGTTACCTTGTTCTAATCTATATCCAATATGTTATTTGGATGGATGACTGAGTTCAATCAGCAAAACCCTAGAGGCTTTTACTTTTAAATTTAAATGACTTCAAGTAATTAACATACTTTCATTCCTAATTCTTCTTTTATAGCTGCTTATAATTTCAGATTACTGAACTGCTTTTATAGTCACCTAGGAAAAGAAGCCAGTCACAGGGTTGCAACTTGGACAAAGTGTTTGATTACTGTAAAGTCAGGCTGGTAAAAAGCCTTACAGTTACATTTGGTAGGGAGACAGATGGAACAACAAAAGGTCCGTAAACCATTCAGCCAGAAGGCTCATGTTTTTATCTTAGTTGAGTTGGGGGAAGTTGGAAGAGGGAATCAGTTAGCTATTACTTGACCATTTCTTTCCATGTATAAAATTTCCCATGATCAACATAAACAACCCAAGAGTTGAAGTTCTGTAGCCTTAGGATTTGGAAGATCCAGTGTCACTCTAGCTCCAAAATTAATGTGGTTTTAATCACTCAGGGAAAAGTTTGTTTCAGTGAAGGAAGACTTCATGCTGTTGGCAGTAGGAATCATTGCAGCAAGTGCTTTCATCCAAAACCAGGAGTGCTGGAGGCAGGTATGCACCACTGAGAGGACCAGTGTGGTCAGAATTCATTTAATAGAAAGCATTCTCCCATTAGTTAAGGGAAAACAGACAAGCTATAAAAGGTAACTGCCAAGACCTAGGATCAGGATGAATAAGCAGGACTTGGGAGAGAAAACTAGGACTGAAAAATGTTCTCCACTTTCCCCCTTGTGAAATTGGAAATGCAGGCTCAATTTCAGCTTGTTTGTTTCCCATTATGATAACCCACTACCATGTTAAAGTCCATTAAGTGTATCCTCCCAAACAGAAAATGTCAAGACTCAAATATCCCTCTTATATTTCACAAAACTTATCTCAGCAGAAGGAAATGTCTAGCAGAAACTTTCCATGCTAACACTATCAGGGCAAAGGTATCCTAGCGTAATGTGGCCACTGGCAAACACTGGGATCTGGATTCTCTGTGTAAGTTCAGAGAAATGAAAAAATTTACATTTGACTTGAGAGAAAAGCCCCAGCAATGTGTCTGTTTGTGCACTAACATGTGTTTCTGTAATAAAAAGAAATCTGCCTCTATTTCTGAAGGTCATGGGGCATTTGCAGAGCATCACTGGCATTGCCTTGGAGAGCATTGCTGAGTTCTCTTATGCAATCCTAACTCACAGCGTGGGAGCCAGCACTCCAGGTCAACAGCAGCCTGTTCCTCCCCACCTGGTGGCCCGACCTCCAAGGGCTGCTGCTTCCTCCAACACATGAGGCACGCGGAATCTGCCAAATATAGACAGCCTTCTGTCGCTGCACCGATCCCTCCCTTTGTTTACTTTCATACTCGGGGTACAAAAGTTCCAAGCATCTTCTGAGTTGTCTTTTGTAATCCAACTTCACGCTTATTTTTTTGCATCAGAGAAAGAGTTAAGATGAATAACCATGTCCCTTTTGTCATATCACACTGAATATGTCAAAGAGCTGGGAGAAGACATAGGATCAGTGAAATTAGTTTATTTTTGTTTAACAAGGTATTTATGGCTTTTCTTTAACTGTTCATTTTATTAAGACAGAACCTCAGACATGGAAATTAGTATTAACCAGGGGCTCAAATACTGAGACCATATGGGTGACCCTGACTGAACATCAAGGATGTTGACTTTATTTCCCCTTAAAATTAGTTTAACATCTCTGTTCTGCTATGGAGAGCTATACAAATAGGGCTTTCTCTACAGGTATCTATTTTTCCATTAAGAGTCTTTTTAAAAAACTAACACCCACCTCTACACATATTTCAACAGACTTTCCACATACCTGCACTTGAACTCAATTCTCCCAGAATACAAAGTACTCTATTTTAGTTAAAGAAAAACCCAACAGTGCACCTCTGGGCAGTTATCAGACTGCAGTTGATCTTTTATTACAAATAATTAAATCTCTCCACCAAGGTCTCAAACAGTATCAAACACCATTTCATATCTCTTAACACAGAGCAGAGCAGGCATTCAGTACTAGAACCAAGTAAGAAGTGTTAAATTTCAAGCTTCTGATCACATCACATGGTGACCAAAGCTTGTGTCATTTTCTCATGTTATCCAACTGAGCATCTCACACTTCTTGTCCTCTCAGTGGAGACAAAAGTTTCTAGTTCATGTTCTAAGCGCAGGAAGTTGAGAGAGACAAACTCCAGTGAAAACACATCAATCTCAATTCAACTCAGTTAAAAAAAAAAAAAAGCAAACTTAAATTATCTGTTTTGAGGGGACAAAAGGAAAGGAAGGCATGGGGTAAGAGTCAAAACTGTGACAAAGACCAGATGCTATACATGGCATGTTGTAGTTCTGGAAACTATCTGTTATATGATATTTTAAAATAAAGTGGCTTTTGTGGATTTTTTTCTCTTTTGGTGTTGTAAACATATGCTGTTTAATAGTACCCGAATTTAACACTTTCTTTTTTTCCAAACAAAACAAAATTGAAAGCCTTTAAGGCAAACGAACTCCTATGGAAAAAAGAAAGTCATTTGTTATAAAACTGTGAGGATACCCAAGCAAGACCCCACTTAAGATTCGTCAGCATAAACTTGAGAGCTTTTGTCCACTGTTCCTCCGAGTTAAACTGAGTTTTGATGGAGTAGGAGCCACCACTGCCTCCCGTGTCTTCAATTTTGCCTTTCTCCACATCCATCCTGCAGGTGAACACAGCAAAACTCATTAGTAACTGAGATCCGAGTTAAGTCAGTTCAGGCAAATGGGCAGGGACTTGATCATGGGACCATTCACGTCATTTTATCTATTAAAGAACTCTTGGCAAGGAGCTGTAGTGTATTTTGGATTTGCTTGCAAGTCCAATATCAAGAAGGCTGTCACAAGAGCCTCATTGTGATTGCGGAGCACAGGGACAGGACACACACCCACACAGATGAGAAGCCTGCGGCAGAGGGTGAGTGAGGGGGACAGTGCTCTTCACTGTTTCCTAGGCATCCCTCACTCATGGGGAGGGGAGGGGGGCAGAAGAAAAGAAATGCTTTGTTTTGGGGTGATGGAAACAGCTCAGCCCTACTCTCTTAAGGTGCCCCTCTGTCTCTGGGCTCTACAAAATTTGATCAAAGGAAGCATTCCTGTATCTTTCCAAGGGCATAAGGGAAAACCTCCCTGAAACTGGAGAGCAGGCTTGAGCTCTGCACCAAGAAAATCCCTCACACCATCGAAGCCAGCATTTTCTCCAGGGATCAGGTGGTTACACTGTCTTGCTTGCAGTGTTGGATCCATCCTGCCCATCAGTGTCATGGGATTTGACTCCGTTTTCAGCTTTCCCACCATGCGTACTAGTTTTGCTTCCATTCTTACTGTCCCTTCCATTCTGCTCACTTTGGTCCTACTTTAGGTTCATTCAGCACTGGGGAATACTGACCTGTAAGGAAGGCAAAAACGTGTCTCGCCTTTCTCAACTTCTTCTTTGAACTGCTGCACACAGTCCAGGAAAGCCACCATTGCATGGTCAAACTTGTTGTCCCAGAAAAACCGCAGCCCCCCTGAACAGTACAACGGCAACTCCTGCCCGAGAAGAGAGAACTGGCTGTATCTGTGGCCCAAACACTGGCTACAACAGGCTGCTCCTAATCCAATCCATCTCTCTGCCAGGTTCTGTCTGGATTCCACTGGTAACAGTAACCCTGGGCAAATACCACGCACCCAGAACTTTTGCACCATCACTGAAATGTATTAAACATCTACTGCACGGTGATGCCTTTCTCATCCTGGCACACACATTCTCTTTGGATCCACCCATATCTCTTCTCAACAAACTGTAAAAGTATAATTTTCTCAACAAACTGTAAAAGTATAATTTTCTCAACAGGCCCCAGAGAGCTAAACCTGAACTAGACAAGCCACTGAACAGAAAACTGGCTCATCATGAGATATCTCAGTCTAAGAAATGAAATTATGCTATTATCAAAAGTAAACTATTTTGTTAGGAAGTACAAGGATTCTGTACTGTAGGTGAAAAATGGAACTTCCTAGAGTACCTTAGATTTGTCTGTCAGAGACTCCAGATATGAATGGTTTCCATAGGGAACAAGTCGATACCTAAAATGGAGACGCAGACAGAGATGAATACAGGACTCTTCCTAAAATGATTACTAGGGTGTTATAACCCAGTGATTTTTGGTCTTCAGCTACCCAAAGAAAGGGAAAGTGTTAGTCACTCAGTTGTGTCCAACTCTTTGCGACTCCATGGACTGGGACCCACCAGGCTCCTCCATAGAATTCTCCAGGCAAGAATATTGGAGTGGGCTGCCACTTCCTTCTCCAGGGGATCTTCCTGACCCAGGGACTGAAATTGGGTCTCCTGCACTGCAGGCAGATTCTTTACTATCTGAGCCACCAGGGAAGCTCAAGCTACTCAAGAACCTCTTTTATTATTTCCACTCCTCTGTAGCCTCCCCATGGGGGCTCCATGTTTAAAAAGTTTTGTTTGGGACTTCCCTGGTGGTCCAGTGGCTAAGACTCCATGATCCCAATGCAGGGGGACTGGGTTGGATCCCTGGTCAAGGAACTAAATCCCACAGGCTACAATTAAGACCTGGTGCAGTCAAATAAATAAACAAACACAAATAAGTATTTTAAAAAAGAAAAAAAAAAAACTACATTTATTATATAATTATCTGGGGGCCTTTTATGGATGTATGTTCTGGTTTAGATTTAGAAATAGAAATCTGCAGATTTTTTAGGTTCCGGAGATAGGAAGTTGGGTACCACTGCTATGGTCATGCAGTTCATGGACTGCTCAATCAGTGGAAAAGGTCTGTGGTGAGGAGAAAACCAGAAGCACAGTCTCCATAGACAGAATACTCCCTGCTTGCTGGGAGCAAGGGCTCTTGGCGTAGTCAACAGAAGTAACACGTGGCATACACAGATTATATCAAAGACACACCACACTCAAGAAAGGACCACCTTTTTTACCTCTGAAATTTCAGACCCATCTTATTGGCCAGGGCGTGGAGCAGCAACACTGTCTGGCCCCAAGCAGCATTAATCTCATTCCATTCCACTGGAACACTGGGCAGCCGACCCAGTCTAAAGTTATTGATTGTACCAAACTGTCCACTATGCCTACAGAAGAAGGGCAGGGAAAAATACAGAGAGAACATAAAACTTGGCAAATTCTGATATTTCCTGTTCTCACCTAAAACCTGGCATAAATATCTCTCCTTATCTTCAGATTCATATATCCAAGCTCTACCTGGTACTTTAAATACATACCTAAAGTGTGAGTCATCATCTTTCTCCCTGCTGCTCAGACATCAAAGTAGAAACCTGGGCGTCATCCCTGAATGCTCTCTTTCAGCTCCCTTTTCCCCAAAACCACCAAGCTCTGCTGGTTCTACCTCCTAAACCTCTTGAATCTGTCCTCTTCTCTTCACACTCAATGCCACGGCTCTCTTTTCATGTTTAGAATCCTCCTGACAAATTTCCTAACCAACAACCTTGCCCTCTTCCCCCAAGTCATTTCTCACACTGCCGGTAAAGCCATCCTTTACATATACGACTGTACTTTTGTCACTTTCCTGCCCAAAGCGCTTCAGTGGCTCCCACTGCCTTTTGGATAAAGTCCAAATCCCTTAACGAGGCTTATAAGATCCTTAAGGAATTGGTAGCACTCCAGTTTCATACCCTGTCCTTCTCTGCTTTATACTCCATCTCCAGTCACAATAAGCTCCTTTCAGAATAAAAAGTTCAGTGGGAGATTACCACTTCCACTTTCCTCTGCCTCTTTGCACAGGATGTTCTCTCTGCCAGGAACAACCCTCCTCCTCTGCAGACTTAGACTCCACGTCTCAGCTTAAACATCCACTTCCTCTGGGGGAAACGTTCATGCAGCCTCCTCAAATCGGGTGAAGTGCCCTTGTATGTTCCCATAGGACCCTGGGTTCAGCAGGACCACGCTGAGTGTCTGTTACCCAGCCATCTCCCCTCCCCCCCGAGACTGCAGCAACCAGGAGGCAGAATCAATATTGCTTGCTGTTGCCCACCCAGTGCTGAGCAGTGTCCACCACATAGCAGATGCTCAACAGATACCAGCTGACATGGATAAAATGTCAAATAAATGAGTAAACAAATGACCCCGGGAGAGGGGGATGAGAAATCAGCACCAGGCAGAGACTCAGATTTTCCTGCGGCTGGAGGGCTCTGATCTTTCCCTCTCCTTGGAGAATGGAAGTCACCAAGCTCTAGAATCTCAATCCCCTGATTGTGAAATGGATGAAGCCTAGATGGGGTGAAAATGACACGGACTACTATTTCACGGGAGGGGGGCACCCTGGCTTAGTGGTCAACAGCTAACATTCAGATATTCAGTGCTTCCCAGATGCCCCTCACCCTCTAGCCCTTCTTACCAAATGTGGAAGGTTGCATTAAAGACGTTGGTTTTCTTCAGCTTGTCCAGCTGCATCTGGGCATAACGCATCTGGTTTTCTACACTCTTCAGCTCATCATCCAGTTCTAGCTGTTGTCTTTTAAATTCACTGTATTCCCTTTGATACCTGTAAACAGACAAGGTGGTCATTAAAGGCTGTTAGTTTGGGGGCTAAAATTTCTCTCCCACCACTCCTCTCAAAGACTTCTTCCAGTGATTATGATCACTTCTAGTTGCAGCACCTTGTACATTTGGCATAGATCTCACTCAAAGGAGCATAGTTCCCCTAGATGTTTTGCCTGGGAGAGAGAGAAATGTCCCAAATTCCAGCTGCTCATATGCAAAAAAGAGGAGGAAGACAGGATGCTCCCAAAACAGGACCAGATACTTCTTGGACTTCTGGTCTTTTCCAGAAACAAGGTTAGTCAATGGTGGTTTCTTCCCTGAAATGGTCTGATTGTCTATCACTTCACTGCTACATGCCTATTGTCCTTTAAATGGTTAGTGTACATCATTTCTAATGGAACTTGTTACACTACCCCATGAAAAATTTAACTTTTTCTCAGTCCTCCATTCCCCCACTTTCAGTCTCCTCCACTAGACAGAGGGTTCTCTCAGGTCAAGAATACCAATGAAGGACTTCTCTGGAGGTCCACTGGCTAAGACTCCAAGCTCCCAATGCAGAGGGCCCAGGTTCAATCCTTGGTCAGGGAACTAGATTCCACATGCCACAACAAAGATCAAAGATCCCATGAGCTGCAGCTAAGACCTAGCACAGCCAAATAAATTAATATTTTTAAAAAAGAGCACCAGTGAATTTTGAGCTGGAAGAGAATGAATGTAGGCCAACACACTTAACCTTACAGAGGAGGATGTGGGATTCAGTGGCTGACTCATCCAAATGTTCCCTACATGACAGAGCTGTCACTAGAGGCCTGGTTCTCAGCTCTCCAAAAGCACTGGACAAAACCAATGCTTTTGTCACTTAATCATGCTGACTCTTCCTACATAAGCTTCCCAACCAACATCAGGAAACAGGGCCTGGAAATGCAGGGTCTAGAGCAGACATGCTACTGAATGCTGACTGCTATTTACAAACTAATCAGACACATTCGGCTGTGAGCCATTTCCTCTCCCGGAGCCTTGAGGCAGGAAGATGGAAGAACAGGGTGATCACTCACTGAGCTTCTTCCTGATCCAGCCTCTCAGCCTCAGCTTGGACCTTCTCTAGATTTTCTGCCACTATCTTCCGGTTCTTTTCCACGTCTTCCAGCTCTTGGATCAGCCTCTCCTCCTCTAATGCCAGCTCGTTTAGCTCTAATCCAAGCTGTTCGCTGTCATCTTCATTCATTTGCTCTAAGATCTCCAAACAGCGTCTGCCAAGGACATAGTCAGGGAAGGCTTATGGGAGGGAACCTGTTATTCCATCTCCCTGCATGAAGCACAGCTCTTCATGTGAGGGTTGTACAGCCCCAGAGCAGTGAGCACCCCAAGACTCAGAGCCCTGTTCCTGGGCCGAGGCCCTGGATGCACTCACTTGTAGTTCTGACATTCATTTTCAGTGACGTTGAGCTGAGTGTCCAGCTGGTCTAAGAGAGTGTCTGTGCATTCCTCACACAGGGGATGATCCACATCGGTCTGGCCTGACATGATGTCAAAAAGGTCCCCAGTGACCTGGAAGGAGAGGAGAGTCAGGGTAAGGCCTGTCTCATGTCACCTGCCTGGAGATCCCCCTACCAGCCAGCCCACTGCAAGACACTGGCACGAGGTAGACTTGCCTTTAGTCTTCGGCTGAGGTTCTCCATGGTGCCGCCATCGGATGCCTCCCCAATCAGAGTGAAGCTGTTGGCACTTTCTGTGGACATCATCCTGCAGACAGCCCCCCGCCCACGGGCCACATGAGGGAGCAGAGAGGCCTCCTCCACCTATATGCAATGCTGGTGGCAGAGACTCTCAAGCACCAGCTGAGGGGCCTCAAGGCGCATACCCACTCCTAGCCCGACTGACCTCCCAAGGATACCTCTCTCCCAAGGGAAGGCCATGCTGGTCTTCCACAGGGGCACTCAGCACAAAGGCTGGCCTGGATAGACTAAGGAGAGAGAGGGGGCATCAAAAACGGCTATGTGTGTGTCTATAGTAAAAAGGAAGGAGAATCAGGAGAGACCATTTCTTACATGCATCAATAACTAAGAACCTGAACATTTAACATTTGTTATCCTAAAAGTTTTCAAGAGCTCATCTCTTCCATTAGTCAATCACACTCAACTTTTCTTAATTCTTCATCATGAGAGCTACTGTTCCTTCCCACTGTGTGAATGGCTACAGGAAATAATCAATATGGAAGGTGATGGGCCAGGTGTAAGGGACAGTGTCTTTTCTAGTAGAGTGAAAGGCTAGGTGATGATTCATTTCCATCACAATTCTGGGTTCAATTAAAATTCTACTGGCCTTTGGCAAGGAACAGGGGGCTGAGGAGTAGTAGGCACCTGGCTGGGGGGATGAATCTGCGAGAGACACCATCCTGGCGAGTTTCAATAAATGGCTCCTGGGAAGGAAATAAGAAGTCATCAGAATTCTAGCAGCTTTTGAGATGGAGTCTATTTTCCCAATGGCCTCAGAACTATTTGGCTTTACCCATGATTGATAACCACAAGACTTGAGAAACAAGAGACTTAAGAAATGGGTTTTCTAGCCAATCCTTGAATCCATGCACTAAGAAAGGACCCCTGGTACAAATAAACCCCAAGTCCCATTTGATTTTTTTGTGGGAAACAGCATTTCCTAGCTATGTTGTACTCTGTTATATTTGCATTTTCTCAACACTTACTAGTTGGGTTAGGGTAGAGAATGCCCTTCAGGGTTTCCCAACCTTTTTGGCACCAGGGACCAGTTTCGTGGAAGACAATTATTCCACAGACCAGGGCAGGGGGGAGGGGTAGTTCAAGTGCATTATGTTTATTGCACACTTTATTTTTACTGTTTTTACATCAGTCCCACCTCAGATGATCAGGCATTAGATCCTGGAGGCTGGAGACTCCTGCCCTAAATCATGGCACAAGGGAAAAGCCAGAGCAGACTGCAATGAAGTCTTCCATGGCATAAAACAAAGTAGATTTTTTGTCTTCCATACTTTGATATAATTTGTATGTGACCAAAGTCTTATCTTTGACAATGAAAATCATCACTCAACACAGTTTAAAACAAATGACATGTTCTCTAACACCGACAACCCTTCAACACAGTTTAAAAAAAAAGACATGCTCTCAAACACTGACAACCCTTTCTACCTAGTGTAATCACACAATTCTATGCCCAAACCTAGATACTTTTAAGACTAGAGAGGAGTGGATATTAATAATGAGCTACGACAACAGGTATGAACCAGGTAAGACCTGGACACACAGGTCATCATCCCACCTCCCACCTAAAATAGCTTATAATTCTACTCCAAATAAAGCAGAGTCTCTCTTCACATTTTTGAATGGATGCCTCGTTCAGCAACCCTGTGACCGCAGGAGTACTTCTGTGTCTTCAGTGATCCACAGTGGCCTGGTTATGTAGAACGTCTCTTGTTAACCAGAGATTCCATATATCTGGGGGCTCCAGGAGCACCAAGGACCCTGCAGAAACCCACTTTGTATTCCAGTGTTTTCATACCTCTCCTGAGTTAGCCTCTTCCTCCTGGGTCTCTCCTGGTTTCAGCTGGGCTGTGGCAAGTAATGGAGCTAAGAGCAAGGGAAACATTGAATCTTTCAGAAAGTCTTCTCAGAGCAGGAGCATGTACGAAAGGATAAGAATCAAAATATCCTCCACCTTTTTCTTGGAGTAGAATTTACAAAAAAAAGGATCTGTTTTCTTCTTCTTATAGCCATTAAATCAGATTAAGGGATTATTAAAGTTTTTCCAGTATGATTGTATGATTAGGTCTTTAAAGAGACATCTTACCTTTCAAAAATACTTAATAAAATATTAATGATGTTTATATGTTTGGGATTTGCTTCAAAATCACTTGGGGCTGTAGGTGAAACATGGTTAAATGTGCGTGGATAATCGTTGAAGCTTGGTGATGAGTATACAGAGGTTCATTATAAACTTGGATGTTTTCCATCCAAGTTTATATGGAAACATCGAAGTTTCCATTAAAAAGTTAACATCTTCTTTCCCCCAGAATAAGTGAGAAGGAACATGAAAGGAAGATGAAACTTCCTTTCCTGGAACTAAGATCCAGGAAGATGAAAGCTCTCTACATAGCAATGGAGATCTAAGTTACATGAGAGTATACATTTGTCAAAAACATACAGCTAAGGGTAATTCACTGGCAGTCCAGTGGTTAGGACTCCACACTCTCATTGCCAAGGGTCCAGGTTCAATCCCCGGTTGGGGAACCAGGATCCCACATCCCACAAGCTGTGCATCATGCCCCCCCAAAAAGCTAAGATATGTAATATATAAATCTTGACAATTAGGGACCTCCCTGGGGGTCCAGTAGTTAAGACTCTGAGATTCCATCCCTGGCTGGGGAACTAAGATCCCACATGCCATGGGGTGAAGGAAAAAAAAAAAATCTTCACAATTAAAAACTGTCAATGTATGAAAATTTACCTTTAAAAAAATGAGGTGGAAAGCAAAATACCTGAGAGGATACAGGAGGTGAATGTAGGTACAGAGGAAACAAGAATGGTTGAGTGCAGCTAATTGTTGAAGCTGAATGACGGACACAAGTGAGTTCACTATGCTATTCTCTTGATTTTATGTTTGAAATTTTCCATATTAAAAATTTTCCATATTAAAGTTAATTCCCCTCAGAAAAGAGAAATCAGGTATTGATAATAATAGTTAATATTTGCTGAGTACTTTTCCCTGGCATATTCTTAAGTATTCATGGTCTCTGTCATACCTGATCTTTATAAGTACCTTGAGGTTGTTTTGCATTTTACAGATAAAGGAAATAAAAAGAATTGGGGCCTAGAAACTAAAAATTGGATGAAGTAACTTGCAAGAAGTCATTCTGCTCGTAAATAACAGCCAGAATTTAAATTCAAGCAGAGTGACTCTAGGTCCATGAGCTTACTTTAACTGTTTATTCAGTCTTTTCCTTTTTCCTAGCTTCATCTCACTTCTTGGGAATTTGGGACTCTAGTCCTCTACTTTCCTCTACTTATCAGCCATTGGCTTCTGGGTAAGTCATTTAACCTGACTGAGTTTCAATTCCTCATGGATGAAATGATAAAATTTTTAGTACTCCTATGCATAGGGGAGTAAAACTGCACTACTCCACAGAGGTTAAAAGGAATGCATGTAATGCACTTGGTATATGGCAAGTCCTCCATAATTGCCGTTTATTTTTACATACACAGAATCCTTTACTCTGAAACAGCAGGAGCAGAAAACTAAGGACCTTTCCTTGTTATAGAAAGCTCTCAGAAGCACATAGTGTCAGAACTCTTTTATGTTCTCGATAAGAAAACAGGGAACCAGAGAGAGGAAGCAACTTCCGAGGCTCAGAAGGCTTGTTTGTGGCAGGCTATATGTGGTCCTTAAGACCTTCATCTCCAGCGCTGCCCACTTTGAACGACCTTGATCACCCTCTTTCCAAGGGCCTCGCTGACCTGTGAGCTCCTGGATGGTGACACGGTCCAGGATCTTGAAGCTTGTGTCCAGTTTCAGAGGCTGGCTGCACCGCTGACACACGAAGCTCACCTGCATGGTGCTGCTGGATGTCTTAGACCCCTCCATCCCTGCGGCGGTGGAAAGGAGACGACGTTAGGAAGAACAGGCGCCCCTGAACCCCGGGTTCGGAGCTCCCACCTGACTTGTTGTTGTGGTGAAAGGGTAAAAATCCCCACCTGCACCTTTCCCTGTAGGAACGGTAGGATACCAGGCGGACCTGCTTCCGGGGCTGACCCGGCAAAGGCAGTTTACAGCCCAAAGTCAGGGAGGGTCTGCAATAGGGGTTCCCAGGTCCCCTTCGAAAGTTGCCGTCCAGCCCCCAACGCTTTTCACCTCGGGACCCGGAGCCCGCCACCCTGATCCGGTCTACCGCGGGGGTACCGCGGCCTCGGGTCTGTCTGCGAGCGGGACTTCCAAGACTGCCATTGCCCAGCCTTCAGGTACTTCCCGGTCCGCCGGGGAAGGACTTCCGCCGGGACCGGACTTGACGTCACGATGACAGCCGCGCCTCAGGGGCTCAGTCCTGGTCCACCCACTTCCGCGTGGCTGCGACCTCTAGCGGCTGAGCTGGGAAAGGCGGCAGGCGTCGGCCTAGGGGTTGGTGTTGCGAGCGGAAGTGGCGCGACCCAATTGGGATGGAGTCGCGAAACAGTCCGATACAATTTAACGAATAAACAAACAACCCGTGGACACGCCACCATTTTCTAATTCAGTGACTTTTCTTCAGATTTGTCACTTCTAAGCGGAGCCACTTTGGTTATTCACTGCGGTATCAATTTTTAAAATTTCTCATTGGGAGAACTGGGCGTTTTTTTGAAACGCTTGAGAAAGAGGTAGACACTTGGAAGGGCAAGTGAGGAGGTAAACCTTATTGTGTTTCGTTGTATATTTTAAAGTTTCAGTTATGATAAGGGAAACTCCAACACTTTAGATATTGAAATATAAAGTTATAAAACTAAAACATTTTTGTGTTGGTGCAAGAGTATACATGGAAGAGAATAAAGTTCAAAAATAGACCATGTATGCGGGGTGGGGGGTGGGGAGGGCGGATTTAGTGGGTGATAAAGCTAGTGTTTAAAATTATTGGGAAGTGATCTACTTAATAAGTGATAAGTGGGGCCAGAGAGCCATGTAAGTGGTAGTGAGCTGAATTTTCTACTTCACTGTTTACACCAAAAGAAGTTCCAAGTTAGTCACAAATTTAAGCGTCAAAAATATGATTGAATTCCCTGGCAGTCCAGTCGTTAGCACTACAGGCTTTCATTGCTAAGGGCCCCAGTTCAGTCCCTGATGGGGGAACTAAAAAATCCACAAACCCTGTGGCAAAAAACGAAACAATGGTTAAAGGTACTAGATGAAAGCATGAGTGAATATTTTTTATAATCTTGAAGTTGAGAAGGGCTGTCTAAGCATGGCATGAAAATCAGAAGTAAAAAGGAAAATATTGACTTTTACTCCTTAGACATTAAAACTTTCTGGATCTCCCTGTCCTTTCACTGGTCAAAACTCCGCACTCTCAAGGCAGGGGGCTTGCTCCCTGGTTGGGGAAGATTCTGCATGTTGCTGTGGTGTGGCCAAGAATGAAAATGAAATGAAAACTTTCTGAACTATCAAAGACAGTGTAAAAAAAATTTGTGAAAAGAAAATGTGGAAAATAGTTGTGTCTCATAAGAAAGAAGGTAAATTTCTTTGATATACAGAACTCTATTCAATCAATAAAAAATACCCATGGGCCAGTAATGAAATGGGCAAATAATGTGAAAAGGCTCACAGAAAAACAAATGGTTGATTAAAAAAAATTAAAAGATATTTCATTTTACTAGTAATAGTGGAAATAAAACTGAAGTCAGGCAGCTTTCCTCATTTAAGAGATTGGTAAAGGCTGAACTAGTTGAAATTAAAAGACGCTTACTCCTTGGAGGGAAAGTTATGACCAACCTAGACAGCATATTAAAAAGCAGAGACATTACTTTGTCAACAAAGGTCCGTCTAGTCAAGGCTATGGTTTTTCCAGTAGTCATGTATGGGTGTGAGAGTTGAACTATAAGGAAAGCTGAGCGCTGAAGAATTGATGCTTTTGAACTGTGGTGTTGGAGAAGACTCTTGAGAGTCCCTTGGACTGCAAGGAGATCCAACCAGTCCATCCTAAAGGACATTAGTCCTGGGTGTTCATTGGAAGGACTGATGTTGAAGCTGAAACTCCAATACTTTGGCCACCTGATGCGAAGAGCTGACTCATTTGAAAAGACCCTGATGCTGGGAAAGATTGAGGGCAGGAGGAGAAGGGGATGACAGAGGATAATTTGGTTGGATGGTATCACCGACTCAGTGGACATGGGTTTGGGTAGACTCTGGGAGTTGGTGATGGACAGGGAGGCCTGGCCTGCTGCGGTTCATGGGGTCGCAAAGAGTTGGACACGACTGAGCAACTGAACTGAACTGAACTGAACTAGTTGATAACATCATGTATTGATGAGCATATGGGAAACTCTGTGTATAAACCAGTACAGTCTTTTTGGAGGACAATTTGGGAATGTCTTTAAAAATTTTAAATGTTTGAACTCTTTGATTCATAAAATTTCTTTCTAAGAATTTTCCTAATAGATAATACAAATGATCAAATACACATGTACAATAAAGTTCACGGCTAAATTTCCTTCAGTAATAGGGATTGTTTAGATAAATTATGGTATTACTCATTCAGCAGAATACTGTGCGTGCTCAGTAGTGCAGTTGTGTCTGACTCTTTGCAGCCCCATGCGACCATTAAAAAGAATGGAATAACTTGCTTTTTCCTTGGTTCCTTTGGCTACTTTGAGAATGGTCTGAAGAAGGGCAAGAGTAGAAGCAGGGAGACCAGCTGGGAGGTTTTGCATGAACTGAGGCAAGAGATGATTATCAGTTAAATAAGAAAGGTCATAGGCAGTAAATGATATAATTCTGTTTGTATAAAAAATAATGTGGTACATAATATGACATGTTATAGGAAATGATATTCAGCAAGCAGTGTCTTTCACTAAACAACGGGACAGAGATTTTTACTTAATATAAATTTGTACTGTTAGTTTTTTTGACAATAAGCCTATAATTCGTTTACAGCAAAATTAAACTTTTACAGAAAGATAATATAACAATACAGGAAGTTGGGGCAATAGTGTCATAGAATTACCTATAATCTTACCACACTCTAGGTTTTATGTTTTGCATTATGATGTTTCTTCCCTGTGTATTTTATTTTTGTTTTAGTCACTCATTTTATTTTTTTTAAACTTTTATTTTGTGTTGGGATATAGCTGATTAACAATGTTGTGACAGTTTCAGGTGAACTGCTAAGGGACTCAGCAGTACATACACATGTATCCATTCTCCCCCAAATGCATCTCCCATCCAGGCTGCCACATAAGATTGAGCAGAGTTCCCTGTGCTAGACAGTAGGTCCTTGTTAGTTATCCATTTTATTTATTTATTTGTTATCCATTTTAAACAGCAATGTGTACATGTCCATCCCTAACTTGCTAACTATCCCTTCCCCCATGCCCCCCCCACCCCCGCCGCAACCATAAATTCCTTCTCTAAGTCTGTGTCACTGTGTATTTTAACAAAGTGAAGTGAAGTGAAAGTGAAGTCACTTAGTCGTGTCCAACTCTGCAACCCCATGGACTGTAGCCTACCAGGTTCCTCCGTCCATGGGATTTTCCAGGCAAGAATACTGGAGTGGGTTGCCATTCCCTTCTCCAGTTTTAACAAAGCTGTATTTATATTTGTAATTTATATGCAATTTTTGTATCCTGCTTTTAAAATTTAATGTTACATAATAAGTATTTTCCCCTGTTGTTACACAGATTTTGTAATTGTCACTCTCATGGCTGCATTACCTGAGTGCTACCTGAATGTGTTTCTTTGTTGCATTGCTTCCAGTTTTGGTGGTTACAATGAAGCTGCAGTGAAAAGGTGACTGTTTCCTAAAACTAGGAGATTCACCACTGAGATTACTGAATTTGGCTATTTCATGTCTCCTGATTAACATTAGCAATTGTTTTCCAAAGTGGTTTCATATACCTATATTCTACCTCCAGTAAGGTTTGAGAGAGCCTGTTTCAAGATGCCCTGGCCAGGAGCAGCTATCATATATCAATAGTTGAGGAACAAGGGCAAGAAAATTGGTACTTCCTTGTTATTTTAGTAGACATTATTAGTTACTTGTAAATATTGACTCTTTTGTGAAACTTGTGTTCTTTGTTCATTTGTCTACTAGGTTCTTAATAACTAAGGTATCTTCCAGATGTGCAGACGTTTTACATTTTTATGAAGTCAAATCAGCTTTTTTTCTTGATGATTTATATTGCTTAGAAAGCTGTTCCCACTTTCAGAAGTGACTCTCTTAGTATTTTAAATGTGTATGCCCTCCTATAATTAGCATCAGACATAATATGTGGGACTAGGTTGCTTTTCTCCTGGTATTGCTAACCAATCGGAGATAGTCTTTACAATCCTTATTCCTTGGATCTTTCAGCATGAAACTCCCTCTAGAGGAGTTGAGTGGAATCATCCCCAAAGGATTCTCAAGTAAGACTGGTGTAACTGATTCATAAGTGTGTGAAAGTGTTAGTCACTAATCTGTGTCTGACTCTTTGTGACCCCATGGACTATAGCCCTCCAGGCTCCTCTGCCCGTGGAATTCTCCAGGCGAGGATACTGGAGTGGGTAGCCATTTCCTTTCTTCTGGGGATCTCTCTTCCCAACCCAGGGATCAAACCTGGGACTCCTGTGTTGCAGGTGGACTCTTTACCGTCTGAGCCACCAGTGGCTGAATCATAGTTGTATTCAGTACATTTCTTCCTATAGGGCTGCCACTAACACCATCTCAGAAAGATGTAGATACGTAAAGGGCTTCTAGAGATTACAGCTATGGGTTTGGAGGTCTGTCTTTGTCATTTACCAACCTGACCTTGAGCAAGTTACTCAACCACTCTGGACCATGTTTTCTTATTTGTAAAATGATAATAATAGGGAATTCCCTGGTGGTCTGATGGTTAGAACTCTGCATATCCACTGCAGGGAGCAGAGGTTCCATCTCTGGTTGGGGAACTAAGATCCCGCATGCTGTGCAGGGTGGCAAAAAAAAAAAAAAACAAAAACACCTTAAATGAGAATGATAACGTATGTCACATAGGGTAGTAATGTGATGATTAAATGAGCTAATAATATGAAGCATAAAGAACAACATCCAGCACATAGTAAACTCTGTCTGCTCTGCTGTTTGGAGAATATGTGACAATCAGTAGGTGTAGTACCTGAGGAACTGAATATTCAACAACATACCATAGGTCATCAATTCAACAAGTATATATATATATTTAACAAATATATTTATTGAAGACATACTATGTGCCAGTCGCTCATCTAGGTCTGAGGACATACTGGTGAACTACTCTAATAGTTTATATTCTTGAAAAGAGAACTGGACAATAAACATGTAAACCAATGAGTACGGTAACTTCAGATAATGGCAGGTGTTACGGGTGGAACTTTCCCCAGAAGATATTGAAATTTGAAGATACTGAAGTCCTAAACCCCAGTACGTGTGAATGTGACCTTATGTGGAAACAGGGTCTTCGCATATGATCAAGTTAATGAGGTCATTAGGTCATTGATCCAGTATGACTGGTTGTCCTTAAAAAAGGGGGGGGGTGTCAATGTGGACACAGAGATGGACATACACAGAAGGAAGACATATGAAGAGGCACAGGGAGAAGATGGTTGTCTCCAAGCCAAGGAACACTAGAGACTCTCAGGAGCACCCATGTGACTTTTGTGGACATGAATTTAAAATAAAATCAGTCATCAGTGATCACGGATTCATAAGCATCCAGGAATGAACGGAGTTTGTTAAATATAGCGGTGCCCTCAGCAATTGTTCACTGAATAAATAAACAAATGAGTGCCTATTACTTAAAACATTTGGATAAAGGAGGAGGAAAAGAAAGAAAAAAGGAATGTGTACCTCTCTTCTTATGGGGCTTCCCTGGTTGCTCAGGCGGAAAGGAATCTGCCTGCAGTGCAGAAGACCCGGGTTCCATCCCTGGCTTGGGAAGATCCCCTGGAGAAGGGAATGGTTACCCACTCCAATATTCTTGCCTGGAGAATTTCATGGACAGAGGGGCCTGACAGGCTACAGTCCATGGGGTTGCAAAGAGTTGGACACCACTAAGCGACTAACATTCTACTTGAAGAAAACAAAACACAATTATTTGAGAACAAAGCCATATTTCAATAAGCACAAACATATTAAGCTTCTAAGCTGAAGTTACTAATTCTGAAAGAAATGCAGGGTAATGGCTCACTTAAAATAGGATGTAGTTAATTTGAGAAAGCATTCCTGAAATTAAATTCCAGATCAGAGTTTGAAAGTACTAGGAACAAGTGTTAACAGAAAGGAGAGGTAAAAAGGGGAAAACTGTTAGATGTTAATAAGCAAGATGGTGGGACTTCCTTGGTGGGCCAGTGGTTAAGAATCTGCCTCGATGTATAGCACATGGAACTCATGCTCAATGTTGTGTGGCAGCCTGAGTGGGAGGGGAGTTTGCAGGAGAAGGGATACGTGGATATATATTGCTGAGTCCCTTCGCTGTTCACCTGAAATTAGCGCAATGAATCTGCTTTGCAATGCAGGGGACTTGGATTTGATTCCTGGTCGGGGAACTAAGATCCCGCATTCCTCGGAGCAACTGAGCGCCTGCAACTAAAATGACTAGAGTGTCTTTGCACCGAAATGAAAGATCCTGCATGCTACAATGAAGATCCCACATGCCACAACTAAGACTGGACACAGCCAAATAAATAACATATTTTTAAAAAATAAGAACGGTAGTATGGGCCATGTTGTAAGTGGTCTTGAATAAGTGGAAAAGGGCTTTGAGTCTGAAAGTGGGGATGAGAATAATTGTATAGTTTAAGGAGTAACCTCTTCATGCTAAGCATGAACAGTTAGCTTATCTGATAACGGCTACTATTTATCAAGTGCCTGCCTGTGTCCATAACAAACCTACTAAATTACATACTATCTGTTAGTAACATTTAAAGTTACATTTTACAAATGAGGGAATTGAGACTCACCATTTCAATAATTTACCCAAGATATGACAGTTAGGAAGGACTGATGCTGAAGCTGAAGCTCCAATACTTTGGCCACCTTATGTGAAGAGCCCACTCATTGGAAAAGACCCTGATACTGGGAAAGATTGAGGACAGGAGAAGTGGGCAACAGAGGATGAGATGGTTGGATGGCATCACCGACTCAATGGACATGAGTTTCAGCAAACTCCGGAAGATAGGGAAAGATAGAGAAGCCTGGAGTGCTGCAGTCCGTGGAGTCTCAGAGAGTCAAACGAGACTGAAGGACTGAACAACAACAAAGGAAGCTGAGGCTCCTGATTTGAAGGCAGGTGTCTCTGATTCCAAAGGCCACAGTCAGTCATCTTTCATTAAACTGTGTATTCCCACCATCTCCCTTGCTCTTTCCCCGCCTCCCCCCATCTCCCTTGCTCTTAACACAGAGGTGTGCCCAGGATAAAATGTAAATCAGATAACCTGCCTTTGTACTTAAACCAAATTGTTTCCTAACAACCCTCCTCACCCCACTCCCACCCCCAGGTTACTAACTAGTCTTTCAGTTTCTTCAACTGGGACATCTCTGGCGGTCCAGTAGCTAGTACTCCATGTTTCCACTACAGGGGACCCGGGTTTGATCTCTGATCTCAGGAAAGATCCCGCATGCCATGAAGTGCAGCAAAAAAAAAAAAAAAAAAATCAGTAAAATGAAAAATAAATGCGCTTAAAATTTTTTCAACTAGACCACCTCTTTCCTTCCCCAGAGCATTTGCCTGTGCTGCACCCATACCTTTGAAGGCTCTTCTTCTCACTCTTCTCAAGCTAACCCCTTTACATCCTTGAGATTTGAGCTTAATTGTCACTTCATCTGAGAGGCCTTTCTTGGCCATTTTATCTAAAATAGACCCCTGATATTCTCTATGTTGGCCATATTCCCCCTAACATTTATCAGATTTTGCAATTATGTTGTCAGTTTCTGATTTTTCTGATCTCTTTCCCCAGTATTAAGTCCCATTAGACCAGTGAACTTGAGTTTTGTTTACCTTTGATTTCTCAGAACTGTGCTGTTCGGGAAGCCACTAAACACATAAAGTTACTGAGTATTGCAAACCTGGCTCCTCTGAATTGAGGTGTGCAAGTAAGCATAAAATTCATACTGAATTTCAAAGACTTGGTATGAGAAAAGGATGTACAAGATCACATTGATTTTTTTTTATATTGGTTACACCATGAAATATTTGGATAAATGGTTAAATATATGATTAAAACGAACTTCACCGGTTTTACTTTTTAAGGTGGCTATCAAAAGACGTTTAACTTATATAAGTGAGTCACATTATTTCTAGCCTCTACACTGCTGTCCCAGAGCCTAGTCCATTTTAGGGTGAAATAACCAACATTAAGAGAGACCTTATGAATGGGTGAGTTAAGAGTTATAGTCTCTGCCTTCCATGAGGAAAACGGATACAGCACTGCCCTAAAAGGAGATCTGAGTTCTGGTCTTGCATTTTCTGGAATCACCGTGTAGCCTCGACAAGCACTACCCGACTCCGGGCATCAATTTGCCCATCCATCAGGCAGTTGGTCTCTGAGATCTGGAAGTGTAGGAGAATAAGTGGTTAAGTGGCAGAGAAAAGTGGGGAAGCCTGGTGCAATAGGATTTCTGTTAGGTTCCAGTCTAACGCTACAGCTTCGGCCAAGAGTAGGAGTCAGTGCGCATAACAGACTAGATGCCCAGAACAGACTAGACGCCCAGAACCCAGCACTGGGACAGCCAGCTTCCTCGGGCCGACGTCACCGGAGCGCGACGGCATCGTCGGTCGGGTTCCCCGCTCGAGATGGGGCAGCGGCTCAGAAGGTCCCTTCCGTGAAGGCGAGTGCCGGGCAAACAGAGAGGTAAACAATCCCCGAGTCTCTTTGAGGCTCAGATCTCACTACACCGGTCTCCACCACCCTCCCTCTCATTTCACCCGTATCCGGCACAAGAACTGGGAGGTAAGAGCCGAACGCCGAGCTCCCAGAGCGGAACCTCAGCGCGGCTGCGCAGAGCACGTGCGCACCCTCGGTGGACTCCCGGCGATTGGCTGTGACGCAACTTCCGGTGTGAGCGGCGAAAGCCGGGAGGGTGAGCGAGAGAGGGAGCAGGCAGCAGGGACAGGCAGCAGGCGGGCTGGCTGACCGACGGCACGAAGGGAGGGAGCAAGTGATCAGTGAGTGACCCAGCGAGGGAGGCCGCGTCCTGAAAGCAGCCGAGATTCCCCCTTCCCTCTGACCCCCTCCCCGGAGCCCACAGCGCCTCCGGTCTCCAGCGGAGCGGACACGGCCCGGCCCGGCCATGGCCTCGTTGCTGAAGGTGGATCAGGAAGTGAAGCTCAAGGTAGCGGCACCGGCCCAGGACTCCTTACCCCTCGCTTCGGTCCCCGAGCTGTCTGACAGATTTCCGACTCCCCGTGGCGTCTTTGTCTCCCTGGGGACACCAACCCTGAGCTTCCGCTAGGCTCAGCCCAGCCCCCCACCCCCGGGGACAGCATCGGGGGAGAGGATAATATGGGGTGGCCTTGTGTACCCCGTCTAATAGGGAAGACCTTCGCGGACACGTGGCGGACTTAGTGCTTTAGGCTAGTGACAGCTGAAAGTCCCCCAGCCCGGCAACGTCGCCGCTCCATACGCTGCTACTGCCCCTGCCCTTGGCGTCAGGCTTGCCTAGGCCAGGTTTGGATGGGAGTTGACACGTTTGTGAGCTCACACCTCCCCCATCTACTTGTCTTTTGTCTGCTCTCAAAGTCAGACAGCTTCAGACTGGGAGGGAGGGGGGAAGACAGGTGGGTGCTGCCCTCAAGCCCCGCTTCCCACTCCTGAGATGGAGAAATGGATCCTCAAAAAAATAAAGTATTTGCAGTCTGGGGGCCTCTCAGCTTCTCATTACAATTATAAGGTGAGGGGAAGACATTTGGATTTGGGTTTACCCAACCTGCCTAAACTTATGTTGCCAGCTGCTGATTTGCTCTTACTGAATTGCTTTCTTTGTTAATTTTAGGTTGATTCTTTCAGGGAGCGGATCACAAGTGAGGTGAGTGAAATAAGTAGAAAAATTAGTGTTGGTTAATAGTTGGGAGTTCCCCAGAGAAGAGATATCTATAGAGACAGGCCTTCGCACAGTTACTAATTCGGTTGTATTTTCCCTCATCTTTAGGCAGAAGACTTGGTGGCAAATTTTTTCCCAAAGAAGTTGTTAGAACTTGATAGTTTTTTGAAGGTGAGAGATGCTTTTCTTTTCCTCAGATTCCCCAACTTTCTTGGCCAGGGTCTTTCTGTCTGGTGGGACAGATGAGGTGCTGATTCTGTTCTGTTGTGTACCATAACGCACTCTCATTTCTTGCTTTTTGAATGAAATACTTCTTTGTTCATCTTGAAAAGACTAATGTTTTTGGGGGTGGGCATCTCTCTTTCAGGAACCAATCCTAAACATCCATGACCTAACTCAGATCCACTCAGACATGAATCTCCCAGTCCCTGACCCCATTCTTCTCACCAACAGCCATGATGGACTGGATGGTGTAAGTGTCCTATATTTTCCTTTGTGTTCCAAAGCAATAGGGGTTCTGTGTTCTCTATTTCCTGGTCAGTTGAAGTATATTGAGAGGAGACAGTGGGATTTTTATCTGGAAATGAGGATTCTTAAGACATTATGACTTCAGAGCACCTCCTTTAGATTCTGATTTTCATTTGTAGCATGAGGTGAATGTGTTAATGCTTCTCTGTTAGAGTGAGTTTGAAATAGGACAGATAGCTACAGGTTCCCACAAGTGATCTAGTCTGTCCCTATGACTCTAGGCAAGACTTTTCTTGTCATGTAACTACAGTCCTAGCCTTTGTGTGTCTTTGATACCGAGTCGTTACCAGTTATATGTCCACATTCTATCATAACACTGATGACACTGCCTTGTTCTTTGCATCACTGTCTCACTGATAGAACTTGCAGTTCTGGAAAGCAGAAACTATCTTCATTATCTTTGTATCCCCAGCATCTAGCATTGTTCCCAGCACATAGCAGTTGCTAAATACATTTGTTGATTGAATATTGTGTGTTTTCATGGAATTGGCAGATTTGCACATATTCCCTTAGTTACCCTAACTCTGCATTCAGTGGTTCATTTTTCCTGTTGTTTGTAGTATTCTCCCTCCCCTAATTGCTTATTTATTTATTTATATTTGGCCACAGCATGCCCCTTTTGTGGGATCTCAGTTCCCCAACCAGGGATTGAACCTGGACCTCTGGCAGTGAAAGTGCCGAGTCCTAACCCCTAGACCACCAGGGAATTCCCCCTAATTGCTTCCTTTGTTTATACTTCTTGAAAGGTTGGTTTTCCCAGCAGAGGTTAAGTTGCATTTTGGCAAGAATCTTATCTTAAAGGCTTGTATGTGCTTAATAAACTGTGCATAACTTAATTAAGACAACCTGTGGGGTTGAGGAAGGAATTAAACTTGCTTGAAGGGTAACTTATGATGGGGATGTGGATGTCGGACAGGCTAATTCCCGTCTCTTTGTATCCTTAGCCCACTTATAAGAAGAGAAGATTGGATGAATGTGAAGAGGCCTTCCAGGGTAAGAGCTGCCTTTATCGTCCCCCACCCCAACCCTTCCCGGCAGATGCAGAATGTGTTGTCCTGGCCAGGAAGCAGGATCTGATTTTATTTCCCAGAGTTCACATTCCCATGTCCTCTAAGCATCATCATTATTTAGCACTCGAAACCTAATTTTCTGATTTAACAGGGAGGGTTTGTCTTAGTGTGGACTGCCAAGGGAGACAGGTTGAAGAGGACTACACATCACAGATTTTTCACAGAAATGCCAGTTCCGTGTTATTTTTTCCTCTTCAATAATAGTTGATATATTAAGTCTATAGAGCAGGGGTCCTCAATCATGGTACTGGTCTATGGCCACACAGCAGGAGGTGAGCAACAGGCAAGCTAGCAAAGAAAGCTTCATCTGTATTTACAGCTGCTTTCTATTGCTCGCATTACCACCTGAGCTCTGCCTCTTGTCAGATCAGCAGAGGCATTAGAATCTCTTAAGAGTGCAAACCCTACTGTGAAAGAGAGATCTGGGTTGCGTACTCCTTATGAGAATCGTCTGGAAACCATGCGTCCTGAGCTCTCACAAATCCATGGGAAAAATAGAACATATATAAATTTCCTCATTCTTCAGACTTGTGGAATACTTTAGACTTGTTGTTTAGTCTGTTAATCCATGTGTTCTCTTTTTTATTCTGTTGGGGGTGTCAGGTTGTAGATAGGGTTATGCCAGATAAAAGGCCAAGGTCATAACATCTCATGGGGCTGGGAAAGAGAGAGAGACCTGGAATGCTATGTCCTGCCCTTCCACACCAATAATTTAATCTTCCTCACATCCCTGCCAGGAACCAAGGTGTTTGTGATGCCCAATGGGATGCTAAAAAGCAACCAGCAGCTGGTGGACATTATTGAGAAAGTGAAGCCTGAGATCCGGCTGCTGATTGAGAAATGCAACACGGTGAGGCAGGGGCTAGTGACCTGTGGGCTGACCCCAGATACCCTGTCTTGAACTGTGTTAGATGATGGGGCTGGAGGCGTGGAGGTGATGTGGCAGCTGGCAGACTTAAGTATCTTGGCTCCTGTGCTCCTGGCCTGTGGCCCCAACAGCCTGAATTGTGTACTTCTTGGCTTTAGGAGAAAGGGCTGAGGTCCTCATACATGTATTTTGGTCTCCTCACCCTCCAGGTCAAAATGTGGGTACAACTCCTGATTCCTAGGATAGAAGATGGGAACAACTTTGGCGTGTCCATTCAGGTAAGGCACCTGCAATAGAAACTGGAGAGGAAGGTGTTGGAGTATTCTCACTTCCTCTGCTTTTCTGTTTTCCTTTGTGTTCTGCTGTGGGATGACATGGAAGTGACTTTTGACTCATTTTTTTTTTTCAGGAGGAGACAGTTGCAGAACTGAGAACTGTTGAGAGTGAAGCTGCATCTTATCTGGACCAGATTTCTAGGTAGGGCAGCTGGGGTGTGGCCCAGGAATTGGGGGCTGGTGAGGTGGTGAACACCATCTGGGGTCTCCTGCAGCTTTCTCCTCTTCTCTCTCCTTCCAGATATTATATTACAAGAGCCAAATTGGTTTCTAAAATAGCTAAATATCCCCATGTGGTAAGTGAGGGTTTTTTGGGCTGAGGGTGGAAGTGGTAGGACAGGGAGGAGCAACTGTTCCTAGGAAGAGCTGTATGGGTGACAGTCAGGCCTTGGGAACAAGACTTCTCTCTGCCCCTCATCAGGAGGACTATCGTCGCACCGTGACAGAGATCGACGAGAAAGAATATATCAGCCTTCGGCTCATCATATCAGAGCTAAGGAATCAATATGTAAGTTACCTCGGACCCTGCCCACAGTTGCTCTGGCTTCTCTTAGTTCTGGTGGCCGTTTTCCTGCCTCTCTCTAGGGGTTGAGTTGGGGGTTGGAGGTAAAATGAGTGGAATAAATTCTGCCCATCAACTGAGTATTGAAAGCCCCATGAGGTCATTGAAGGTGTCTAGGTGCTTTTCTTCCTTCTTTCTACCTGGATGGGAAAGGGTGCAGTATAGTCTTGAGGTGAAGATGTGGGCGTTAGCGTCAGGCATAGATTTAGAACTAATTCTACCTGTAATGTGGGGCCTTGGGCAAGTTTAACCTCAAATTGCAGTTTCTTCGTCTAACACATTAAAGGACCTGGTGTAATTCCTGGTATGTTAAGTGCTTCATAAATGTTATTTATTAGACTCTTGGACCCTGGGATATCCCCAGCTGTGTCCGGGGTATGAGAGAGGCCGAAGGGCAGCCACCCTGAATGCAGATTTGAGTGAGATTTGGGTCATGTGAGTGATTGGGGGTGGGGGGGGGTTGTGGGGGTGTCTCATTTTCCTAGTGAGGTAGGGGTTGAATAGACACGTGATTCCCTGATCCTCTCCTCCCAGGTCACTCTACATGACATGATCCTGAAAAATATTGAGAAGATCAAACGACCCCGGAGCAGCAATGCAGAGACACTGTACTGAGGCCGGGGCCAGGGTCAGGGGACTCTGTGAGTCTGGCTCAAGACCGACATTGCCTTGGTTTGTTACATGACTATCGTGATGGGGAAGCTGGCTGGAAATAGTAATCACACCTCTCTCTGTTTTTAGTTAGAGTCTAATGAAACTCTCATGTAGTTCTGTGACGTGTTTACCTCTTTTTTCAGGCCTCAGGAACTCTTCTATTTCCTTCCCTAACACCCCCACGCCCCCCTGTCGTAATTTCTGGAGAACTCCAGGTTTGTGTGCGCAGGATCCTGGCACAAGAATACTTGTGTTTTCTCTCCCTGGCTCCCTCCTGTGTCTTGGGCTTTGTGTTTTCTTCCTTTTGATGATGAGTTGGTTAGAAGCAAGGGAACTGGAAGGAGAGTGCTCGGTGTCTTGTAGGAACTGGGGCGGGGTGGAGGGGACCAACTCCTCTCTTCCAGAAGGAAGGTTAGTGTCCCTTGCCACTGTGGGATGTTGGATCCTCCCTGCCACAGTTGCCCTGGTGATGACTGAGGGTTTCCCGTCTGCATACATTGTACCTTGAACCTGATCATGACAAGAAACACCTTAGACCTTCTTCTGCCAAGCCCCTAGCTCCTTCAGGTGTTTTTATAACTAGGATTTTCACATACACATATGTGTGTGATATATATATACACATGCAGCACACACATGCCTTGCTGCTGTTACTTGATGCCCACTCCTCCCCCGCTGCCCTGCCCACCTGTAAACCCTGTTTCTCTCTCCTTTTCTCTCTCTCTCTCTCTCTCTCTCTCTCTCACACACACACACACAGTTTAGAAGGTGATAGGTGTCTTAGTCCTCTCCTCCCAGGGCCCATTGTCTCCTGCTGTTGTAGCCTCTTGGTGCCTGAGGCTGTGAGTTGGAGGGGAGCTGAGAGATGAGAAGCGGAGGGAGTGGGGAAGTCCTCTTCCTCTGTGACTTGAGTCCTTTTGGCTGTTTTTGCAAAGGCTTGTCCTCTGACCCCTGGTTGCCCCTTCCCAGGCCAGTTGTAAATTGGGGTAAGGGTGTCTGCAGCTGTGAGGCTAGATGCTGCTGCTGCTACTGGGCTTTCCCTTTGGGAAAAATGTTTTCTTATTTGTAGTATTGTGCTTCCCGGGAAAGCAGTCACTTGTGTGTATATGTGTGTGTATGCACACACAGGCATGTACACAGTGTGTGTATGTGGAAATCTGCCGAGCAAGTCAAAACCATAGAAGAGTTGCCTCTTATCTCTCAAATCTTCCAGAGATACCACTTGTTACAGCTTTTGTGTTAACCCTCATCAACCCCTACTTTTTTTATTCTGCCACTCCTGGGGAGTCTGTTGGTGGCTCTCTTTCTTTCTCTCAGTGTTTTTGACTTTTATCCTTGCCCCTTCCCTGCCCCATCTCTGTCTTCCAACCTCCAATCATATTTCCGTCTGAGCGCATCATTTTGGTCCCCCGTTATGCTATAGAGGAGGAGTTCGGATGCTGTCTTCCCATGAATAGTACTCAGTAACAAACCAATTGCATTTTAGTTGGGCAGTGCCCCTACCACCCTCCAGACCCCTTCCAACTAAAACCCTTCCCTCCTCCCACCCTGTGTTTCTCAGTTTCCCTTTTTGTTTGTTGGATTGTTCCAGTACCCCTCCTCCTCCCTCTACTGCCCTTGGATCGTAATGTAAAATTCTTTTACCATGTCAAGAAATTATTAAAAATACAGGTACTTTGACCTCTTTCTAAAGCTGCAGACGCTGATGCCATGCTCTGGTGGCCTGGGACATACTCACACTTAGGTGTGTGCACATTGGGACACCCACCTCCATATATACCTCCAGCCACCCTATTGGGTGTCTTTACTCCAATTGAGCTGCCTCTTTTCTCTGAAATAATGAAAAGACTGAGGCTTCTGCCTACCAAGAGGCAAGAGTGGGTCCTTCATTTGTGTGCAGTCTGAATTAAATGCAAGTTGAAAGAAAGTGAAAGTCAGTCACGTCCTGCGAGGCTCCTCTGTCCATGAAATTCTCCAGGCAAGAATACTGGGTGGGTAGCCATTCCCTTCTTCAGGGGATCTTCCTGACCTAGGGATCGAACCCCAGTCCCCTGCATTGCAGGCAGATTGTTTCCCGTCTGAGCCACCAGATAACTCTTCTCCAACCTAACTTGCCTTCTACCCTGACAAGATCCCAGCTCCTTTCTGCCTTCTCCAATAATTCCCTGAACTGTCAGTAGAGGGTGCTGTAGTTCCATGTGTTGGGAATCACCTGGCTCGAGGCACACCCCACCCCATCATTTTCTTTATACAATACTTCTCTCTGAATAATGTCTGAAGTTTCTTGAGGATATGCCAGGGACTCCTGGTTCTGACTTTCAGATGACTTGGAGGGCTGTCTGGGATCTTAGCTCCCTCTGAAATAAAAGTTTCCTTAACTTCCACCTTGCAGAGTAGCGTACTGATATCCATTGATCTGGGATCCATCGTCTCTACAAAAAAAAGACTTAAGGTCTTGAATGGTGGAGGAACATCTCTTCTATTCTGTTTCAGAGATCAGTACCTGTAACTGACCGTTTTTGAATGCCTGCCCCGTGTCAAGCTCTGTGAAGCACTTTATCTGCGTGATCACATTTATTCTCCATGAATCTCTAGGGTAGTTTTATCCCTTCTTTATAGATCAGGACACTGAGTCTCATGATAAGTAAGTCCCCTGAGGTCATGCCGCTTCAGGACCTGCGATTGGGATACAAATCGACTGCTGTGGCCAGGTCTTCTCCACTCGTTTCTCAACTGGCTAGATGGAAGAGGCCTGAGACTACAGACCAAGGGCTTTGCCTTAGGCATCTGGCAGAACACAGTGCTTACTGCTGAACTGGGCAGTGGATCCTGGAAATACTGGGGTGGTGCCTGCCAGAAGGTAGGAAAGTGGCCAGAGTGGTTGCATGTGGCTCATAGGACTTGATCGGGCATTTGAGATTTGCATTCTTCCTCAGACCCATGCTGGGCAGAAGGTAGAGTTTAGCGTCTATACAAATGCCCTCTAATCTGCTCTAAATGATGGCGCTTGGGAGTGGGTACTGACCGTGCTGCTGGGAGGAGTTCAGGGATGGGCTGAGGCGATGCACGTGGAAGTCGTACCTTGAGCCAAACCACAGAACAGAAAATTGGAGCAGAATTATACAAATCAAGGTCAAAAATTTCCCGTCCAACCCACAGGGTGGAGTTTTCGCTATTCCTATCCATCCTCCTGAATATAAACCCTGATTTGATGTCAGTAACTGGAAGGAGCAGCTGGTGGGACTCTCCTTTCAGCTCTCAGCATTCACCATGAATCTCAAGGTAGTCCTCGTGTTCCTGGCACTGTCTCTCATCACCATCTTTGCCCTGGCCTATGTCTTGCTGACCAGCTGTGGTGGCTCCAGCCTGCCTCCCCGCTGCCCCTCTGTATCCCCCCGTGCCCAGCCCTGGACACACCCCGGCCAGAGCCAGCTGTTTGCAGACCTGAGCCGAGAAGAGCTGATGGCTGTGATGAGCTTCCTGACCCAGAAGCTGGGGCCAGACTTGGTGGATGCAGCCCAGGCCCGACCCTCAGACAACTGCATCTTCTCGGTCGAGCTGCAGCTGCCCCTCAAGGCTGCAGCCCTGGCCCACCTGGACAGGGGGAGCCCCCCACCTGCCCGGGAGGCACTGGCCATCATCTTCTTTGGCGGACAACCCCAGCCCAATGTGACTGAGCTGGTAGTGGGGCCACTGCCCCAGCCCTCCTACATGCGGGATGTGACCGTGGAGCGTCATGGGGGTCCCCTGCCCTATCACCGACGCCCCATGCTGGCAACCGAGTCTGCCCAGATGTGGACGCATCTGAAAGAGGTGGAGTTCCCCAAGGCCCCAGTCTTCCTGGCTTCTGTCTTCAACTACAATGGCTCCACTTTGGCGGCTCTGCATGCCACCCCTCGTGGCTTGCGCTCAGGGGACCGTGCTACCTGGATAGCCCTCTACCATAACATCTCAGGTGTCGGGATTTTTCTTCACCCCGTGGGGCTCGAGCTACTGCTGGACCATAGGGCCCTGGACCCTGCCCATTGGGCTGTCCAGCAGGTTTTCTACCTCGGGCATTACTATGCAGACTTGGGTCAGTTGGAATGGGAGTTTAAGGCTGGCCGGCTGGACGTGGTTAGAGTTCCTCTACCCCTGCCAGATGGGGCCTCATCCCTCCGCTCCCGGGTCTCCCCAGGCCCTCTCCCCCCTCTTGAGTTCTCACCTCAGGGCTCCCGGTACAGCGTCCAAGGGCACCTGGTGGAATCTTTCCTCTGGACATTTACCTTTGGCCATGGGGCATTCAGTGGCATGAGAATTTTTGATGTTCGGTTCAAGGGTGAGCGAGTGGCCTATGAAGTCAGTGTCCAGGAGTGTGTGTCTATCTATGGCGCCGATTCACCCAAGACCATGATGACCCGATACCTTGATAGCAGCTATGGACTTGGCCGGCACAGCCGAGGCTTGGTGCGGGGAGTAGACTGCCCCTATCAGTCTACCATGGTGGACACCCACGTGTTGGTGGGTCAAGGGGCAGTCCAGCTGCTCCCTGGAGCTGTGTGTGTATTTGAGGAGGCCCAGGGACTACCCCTCCGAAGGCACCACAATCAGCTTCAGAGTCATTTCTATGGTGGTTTGGCTGGCTCTGCCCTCGTAGTCAGGTCTGTGTCCTCTGTAGGCAACTATGACTACATTTGGGACTTTGTATTGCACCCAAATGGGGCACTCGAAGGGCGGGTCCATGCCACGGGCTACATCAACACAGCTTTCCTGAGCGGGGGAGAGGAGAGCCTCCTCTTTGGGAACCGCGTGGGGGAGCGAGTGCTGGGGGCGGTGCACACACATGCCTTCCACTTCAAGCTGGACCTGGATGTGGCAGGTGAGTGCCCTGGGGGGATGAGGATGGAGAGTTGGGGTGGGCCAGAGGGAAGGGAGACCCCCCACATCAAGCCCAAAGAGGTAAGAGGGTGGCATTCCAGTACCACAGTTTATTGTGGCAACAGCAGGGACTGATGTGAGTGTTTTGACTGCAGTCAGCCTAGATGCTGGGCCTACTGGGTGTTTAGCAGAAGATAGGGTTCCACTGCCTGGCCCCTCTGACCTGCAATTTTAAAATGAAACATAATGGCCATGCTGGGCTATCTGGCTGCCTTAGCCTGTCTGTGAGTAGGGAACTGGCCTTCTCAGGCTGGATGCAGCTGGAGCTGGGGCTCTGAGTTCTTCATCATTCTGAGAGACTGTGGAGGTGGGGAAAGCAAGGGGATGAGCAGAGGGAGGTAGGAAGCAGTGTCTAAAGAGGTTTAAAGAGTGGAGGTAGTGCTGGGGCTTGAGAGAGGGAGGCGCTGGCTGGGGGCTGCTCCCACAGGATTTCAGATGACTGGGGAGACAGCATAGGGGCCCAGGCGCCTTCTGGGGAGGCCCAGCCCATTCCTGCCAGCATGCGTCATCACAATAGGCTCTCCGGCAACAAGGCGGGCCCGCAACAGGCTTGATGCAAATGTAGAGGGATTCCTTCAGTAGGGCTCTAAGCACCAAGGGGGCTTTCTCCTCTTGACAGTTTTTTGTCCACTTCAGAAAATAATTAACCAAATCAGGCTGTTTGCCCAGAGAGAAAATTTGGAATCCGCCGGACCCTGTCTGTTTTACAGTTACAGAAATCGAGGAGGGTGGGGGGGGGGGGGGCGGGAGATGGGTCAGAAAGTGGCTGCCTGTATATAATGCACCATAACTCGGCATATTTCTTGTGAGACATTTTCATATCCTCTTGAGTATAAAGATGGCACGTGTGCCTCTGTGTGTGTGTGTGGTGTGGAGGTGGAGGGGAGGAGAGCTAAGAAAATAGCATGATGGAAATGCTAGTATTAACTAGATTATTCTTTGACAAATTCGGTATATGACTATTTTCTGATTTGAAGTTTTCTCTCCAGCACTTTGACGTTAAAGAGCCTTGTCTTAGGACGTAAAATCAAATAATACTGGATCCTTAGAGGATGCAGTGCAGGCTGGTGCTGTGGGCCAGAGGCTGTCAGGCGCCTGCACAGAGGGCAGTAGCTGCATTCAGGACAGCTCCCTTGTTCCAGCACCTTCCTGGGAGTCAGACTGGAAGGAACTGACAGTCTGAACCTGCAGCAAGAGTATAAGTGTTTCAGGGATCACCCCAGACAATTTAAAGATACAAATGTATTTATTTGTGAAAAAGACAAAGTGGTCCCTGCCAAATTGAGAAGAGAAGAAAAACAAAGTTTCAGAGTCAGGAGGAGTGTGCAGGGCACCAGAAGAGGGGATCAGGTTTTTCCAGCCAGCTTCTCCAAGACAAAAATCCCTTTCATAGTTAGAAGAATGTTGTTAGCCACCTGTGTGTGCTTTTCCATTTATGGAGCTCAGCCATAGAACAACTTTTTTTATGCCTAGTGTAGAGATTCACAAGGTGAATCAAATGTGCTTCACTACAGAGAAGCAAATAATTGGTCCGAGGTCTGTTGGATAGACCAGGGCCCAGAACTTTCTGCAGTGATAGAAATACATGCCTGCCTTGTCCAGTCTGTTAGCCACCAACCATAGGTAGCTGTTGAGCACTTGGAATGTAGCTAGTGTGACTAAGGAACTGAAGTTTTAAGTTGAAAGAGCCGCTTGTAACCGGTGGTAGCTATTAGACGGGGCAAGGTTCAAAGAAGATCGGCTAGCCCTCAAGTCCAGACCTGGCTCCCAGCGCAGAGTGCTCTCTGCTGGGCTCTGCGGCCGTTTTACAGGCCAGTGCAGTGGGCATCACAGAGATGACAAGGGACCTGTCTCACCTGGTGTGGAACTCCTCTCCCTCCCCTCACCCTGGCAGGGCTGAAAAACTGGGTGGTAGCTGAAGACGTGGTGTTTAAACCTGTGGCAGCCCCTTGGAGTCCGGAGCACCAACTGCAGCGCCCACAGCTGACTCGGCAGGTCCTGGGAAGGGAGGACCTGACGGCTTTTTTCTTGGGGAGCCCCCTTCCCCGCTACCTTTACTTGGCTAGCAACCAGACTAATGCCTGGGGTCATCAGCGCGGGTACCGAATCCAGATCCACAGCCCTCTTGGCATACACATGCCGCCGGACAGCACCATGGAGAGGGCCCTCAGCTGGGGGAGGTGAGGAGGGCCCCGGGGACTGGGTGGTAGGGAAGGGCTGGTCCCCTTCCCATCCCAGCTCTTAAGAGACCCCAGCTCACTAACCTTGGTGGACCCTTCACCCCTGGATCTCTCAGATCCAAACAGATAATGGGACGGGAATCAGTCTCACACAGAACCTGAGCCAAAGGCTATCTGGGCTGTCCAGGCCCTTGATGTTTCCTGACATTGCCTTCCTACAACATTCCTGGTCAGATACCAGCTTGTGGTGACCCGGAGGAAGGAGGAGGAGTCCCAGAGCAGCAGCATCTATTACCAGAATGACATCTGGACAGCCACTGCGGCCTTTGCTGACTTCATCAACAATGAGACCCTCTTAGGAGAGGTTGGTAGCCCTAGGGGCAGAGGACCAAAGCTCCCCTGAGCCTAGTGCCATGGCTGTAGGATGGAGGGAGTGGTAGGTTTCCAGCTCTTAGATTAGGGGCCAGGGAGTCCCCTGATGACCAACATGGCTCATCCCTCTTAGGGTGAGATTAGCTCTGGGACCAAACTACAGCTTCTCACATGGATGAGAAGCCTGTTGTTTGGGCCTGGGGCTGGAGACTGGGGATCGTGGCTGAGGGGAGGTTCTCTGAGTCTTGCCTCCAAAATCTCCAGCTCCTCCTCTTTCTGCAGGACCTGGTGGCTTGGGTTACAGCCAGCTTCCTGCACATCCCCCATGCTGAGGATGTCCCCAACACAGTGACTCTGGGGAACAGAGTTGGCTTCTTGCTCCGACCCTATAACTTCTTTGATGAGGACCCCTCCATCTTCTCCCCTGGCAGTGTCTACTTTGAGAAAGGCCAGGATGCTGGGCTCTGCAGTGTGAATCATGTGGCTTGCATTCCCCACCTGGCAGCCTGTGTCCCGGACCTGCCGCCTTTCTCTTACCAAGACTTGTAGCCCTGAGTGTGCGGAGGGACATGGGTAGGGCAGGGTGGTGGTGGTGCTAAGACCTGTACCTTCCTTCCTATTTCCACTTCCTGCTCTCCTGACACTCGACCCTTGGGAAGTAGCCTCCTACCACAGAAACTCCCGTATACCCTGTTGGTAAACTCCTGTTTCCAGTTCATTGTCTTAAAAATGATGAATTTTTACAAATGATGCCATTGTTAAAATATTCAGGCAAAAAACATCATAAATCCTACCACTCAGAAATAGCTGGTATTCACATTTGGTGAATGTTATACCAGACATTTCTTTATGCATGTGCATTGAAATGGAAAAATAGAATTTTTTTAAAACCTCATGGTGTGTGTAATTTATAATAAAGAGTATTATGAGATTTTTACTTGAATTTCTTCCATCTGACTTTTGAAGTATCTAGAATCCCCCAGAGAATATTAGGGATTCTAGCCAAGGAAATTAGCCAGGGAGGAGAGGGGGCAAGGGGGACAGACCTGGCCAAGAAATGTTGCTTGGGAAACTGAAGAAGGGGGTTGGGGGTTGTTCTTGGAAGGAGGACAATAGTTCCAGTTGCAGGAAAGGAAACATCTGGCCTGGGGAAAGTGGGGGCTGGGGGAAGAAGGGGGATTGAAGGGGACAAGGGGCTGCCCCCCTCTGGCATTTCTATGCATTTCTGTGCTCATTCTGGTTAGCTTCATTATTTTGAAATCCCCACCACCCCTTCCCCATACGCCAGATCTCCCCTGACCCAGAGAGCAGAATCTGAATTGGGAGTCTGGAAGACAAAGCCATGTAAGGTCTGTGGAAATCGCTGCTGCCCTGCCATAGCCCCGCCCCCGCTGCCCCAGCCGCCCCACCCCGCCCCCAGCCTTCCCATGCTCTTCCCACCTTCTGTTTTCTTTGCAACGGAATACTGAAAACCTCAGCCAGAGTCCAGGAACCCTCAATACAGGAGCCAAAAGAGACCCTCTTCTGCTGGCCTGAGAACACAAGTCTCCAGTTTGGTTCAATCCTCTGTCTCTCTATTCAAGGGACCATGAACCAGAAGACCACCCTGGTGCTCCTCGCTCTGGCTGTCATCACCATATTTGCCTTGGTGTGTGTCTTACTAGTTGGCAGGGGAGGAGATGGGGGTGAAGCCAGCCAACCTCACTACTGCCCCTCCGGAACCCCCAGTGTCCAGCCCTGGACACACCCTGACCAGAACCAGCTGTTTGCAGACCTGAGCCGAGAAGAGCTGACAGCTGTAATGAGCCTCCTGACCCAGAAGCTGGGGCCAGACCTGGTGGATGCAGCCCAGGCCCAACCCTCAGACAACTGCATCTTCTCAGTAGAGCTGCAGCTACCCCCCAAGGCGGCAGCCCTGGCCCACCTGGACAGGGGGAGCCCCCCACCTGCCCGGGAGGCACTGGCCATCATCTTCTTTGGTGGACAGCCCCAGCCCAACGTGACTGAGCTGGTGGTGGGGCCGCTGCCCCAGCCCTCGTATGTGCGGGATGTGACCGTGGAGCGTCATGGGGGTCCCCTCCCGTATTACCGACGCCCCGTGCTTCTCCAAGAGTACCTGGACATAGACCAGATGATCTTCGACAGAGAGCTGCCACAGGCTGCTGGTGTCCTCCACCACTGCTGCTCCTACAAACAAGGAGGAAGGAACCTGGTGACCATGACCACAGCCCCCCGCGGATTGCAATCAGGTGACCGGGCTACCTGGTTTGGCCTCTACTATAACATCTCAGGGGCTGGGTACTATCCACACCCCGTGGGGTTGGAGCTGCTGGTAGACCATAAAGCTCTGGACCCTGCCCAGTGGACCATCCAGAAGGTGTTCTTTCAAGGTCGCTACTATGAGAGTCTGGCCCAGCTGGAGGAGCAGTTTGAGGCTGGCCAGGTGAATGTGGTGGTGATCCCAGACAATGGCACAGGTGGGTCCTGGTCCCTGAAGTCCCAGGTGCCCCCGGGTCCAACTCCACCTCTGCAGTTCTATCCTCAGGGCCTCCGCTTCAGTGTCCAGGGCAGTCGAGTGACCTCCTCATTGTGGACTTTCTCCTTTGGCCTCGGAGCTTTCAGTGGTCCTAGGATCTTTGATGTTCGATTCCAAGGAGAACGACTGGCTTATGAGATCAGTCTGCAAGAGGCTGTGGCTATTTATGGTGGGAATACTCCAGCAGCAATGCTCACTCGCTATATGGATGGCTGCTTTGGTATGGGCAAGTTCGCCACGCCCCTGACCCGAGGGGTGGACTGCCCCTATCTGGCCACCTATGTGGACTGGCACTTCCTTCTGGAGTCCCAAGCCCCCAGGACACTACACGATGCCTTTTGTGTGTTTGAGCAGAACGAGGGCCTGCCCCTGAGGCGACATCACTCATATTTTCATTCCCACTATTTTGGGGGCGTTGTGGAGACAGTGCTGATCTTCAGGTCTGTGTCAACCTTGCTCAACTATGACTATGTGTGGGATATGGTCTTCCACCCCAATGGGGCCATAGAAATCAAATTCCATGCCACAGGCTATATCAGCTCAGCCTTCTTCTTTGGTGCTGCCCCAAAATATGGAAACCAGGTTCGGGAGAACACACTGGGCACCGTCCACACCCACAGTGCCCACTACAAGGTGGATCTGGATGTGGGAGGTAAGACCTGCTGGCAGAGGCAATGATTCTGGACAGGAGGTTGAAGAGTTGTCACTATTTGCTTTGGGTTTGATGGAGGTTTCCCAGGAAAGGAAGATGTGGGTATGCGGTTTGGGAGTTTGATGTTTTCTCTTATCTGGATGGGAGAGTGTTGGCTGTTGAATTTCCCTGTGATCTTAGCTCACTGGCTGGGTGCAGAGATGCCAGACTCCAACCACATGACCTCATTAGAAAATCTTGGGAAACAGCTAAGCTTAGGGAAGAGACAGTATCTGGGCTAAGGGTCCTCTTTGCCCTCCTCCCTCCCTGGCACCTATATGGGCCCCCCTTGAGTGAGGCAGACATTTGTTTTTCAGCTTATCTGTGTCTGCCTGCAGTGCTGGTGTTGGGGAAGATCTGGGTGCATTCCGCTGAGTCCCTGGCACATGCAGGCCAGCCCTGGCTATCCCTGGGTGCACATTTCCTTGGCAGGTGGGCCCTCCTCCTCCTTGAGTTTTCATCTCTGGGCACAATACATTTAAATGTGAAGGGTAGAGAGGATACTGTGGAATATTCCAAAAAGTTTCTGGAGTTGGTGGTCACAGAGAGCCAAGGTAATGGGATATTTAGGAGTCCATGACATTTCACTGTTGTTCCCCACATTGATTTCATCACCAGATTTTTCTTTCTGTTCTGCTGCTGAAATATCTCCAACCTGTCGCCTGGCCTTCCTGCCAGTCCCCTCTGGGCGCCAGGCCTCTCTTTGCTACTTCGACTCTTCTTCCCCTCAGATCCAGGGTTCACCCTGTGCTCAGAGGGACCTTCCAGCCCAGGCCAGCCTGCCCCCTCACACACTTCCCACTTACCCCATCACTAATGGATTCCCAACTGCAAAAGGACTGCCAAGACCTGTCCCTTGAGAGGGCAGCTGCCACCTGCCTTCCAGATTCTTCCCTATGCTGTTTTAGCCACACCTTCACCCTCTGTGTCCCCGGAAACACACACAATAGGTGACAGTTGGGCTTGTTTGCTTTTGCTCCTCTTTTGCTCCAGCCTTGAATACCCCGCCATGCCATCTCAGATGGTGACATCCTTAAGGCCAGGCTGAAACGTGGACCAGAACTGCCTCTCTTCCTGTCTGTACCTGGCTTCCTCTAACTGTGCTCCTCTCACACTGTAGGCTCATTAGGGCTTGCCCTTCCTCAGGCTTCTGTGAGAGCAGAAGGGTAAGGTTGCATTCATTAGAGTGTCCCTAGCACTGAGCACATGTGTTTTCACTGATGAGTGTGAAACAAGGATGGAGTGAAATCCTCGAAGAAACATTTCACAGGTCACCAGCTTTGGCTGAAAGATGTGGATATCCTGGAATGAGGAGAGGGAAACAGGGGACACACTCAGTCTGGTCTTCTCTTCGGCCCCCACTCTGAAGCCAGCTGCAAGCAGAGTCTGAGAGGTGGGGCAACTGCCTGACCAGCCCTTCCTCATCCTCTCACCCCCCAGGACTGGAGAACTGGGTCTGGGCTGAGGACATGGCTTTTGTCCCGATGACGGTACCCTGGAGCCCCGAGCATCAGACTCAAAGGCTGCAGGTGACCCGGAAGCAGCTGGAGACAGAGGAGCAGGCTGCTTTCCCCCTGGGACGGTCCTCCCCTCGCTATCTGTACCTGGCCAGCAAGCAGAAAAACAAGTGGGGGCATCCTCGCGGCTATCGCATCCAGACAGTCAGCTTTGCTGGGGGGCCGCTGCCCCAGAACAGCTCCATGGAGAGAGCCATCAGCTGGGGAAGGTGGGTGGGGTGTACTGTTGGAGGAGGGTGGATGAGATGAGAAGAGCATCTTGGGAGGGGAAATTGGGAACCTAGTTTAAATCTACATGAGGTGAAGTAAGAGCACAAAACATTTCCTGGTTATCAAAAGGTCTACAGTAAATACATGGTCCCCTTGGAAGGCTAAGGCCCAGGCAGATAAGTCTTTCCTGTTTTCCTGATGCTGTGAAACCCAAAGGGATCAACAGGAGAAGGACATGAAAAGATGCTGGGCTCAGGCCAAAAAAAAAAAAAAAAAAAACGATCACCTAAGTACTGTATCTTTAAAAAAAAAAAAAAGGTGTTGGGCCACCCACTAGATGGGATGTGGGATGTGCAAGAAACCGGCTGCACACTAGGGTGACATCACAGTGACGGTGTGGATGAGCTGAGAAGCTGAGGTCCATGGGCTTGGCTCCCTTCCATGATGATCAGGCAGCAGGACAGGGACAGTGACCCTGGACCCCTGACCAGAGCATCTCTAGGTACCAGCTGGCCGTGACCCAGAGGAAGGAGACAGAGCCCAGCAGCACCAGCATCTTCAATCAGAATGACCCCTGGACTCCCACCGTGGACTT